GGGTTAGACCACCGGAGCAGAACATCATGACTTTCGTCAGTACCTTGTCTGAGATCCCAAAGCTGTTTCTGCCTGTAACACTTTCTCTTATAAATTGTGACAGTGTTCGTTCCAGTTTTGAGGAATGATTTGGTCCCCACATACTTTACTGGTGAGGCTATGAAAATGTCTTTTTGTTCTTAAATCGGAGTCCAATCCTGCTTCTGGAGTGCCAATGTCCTGCAGAGTTTTGCTCCAACAAACTTGCCTGGGTCTCCATCTACATTAATATGGATACTGTACATATGTGGACTATGAAAACAAAGGTATTCGGAAAGAATAATGCATGTGACACATATCGCACCTATAGTACATACTGAATATATATGTTTTTATATATATAATACAGCCTTTATGCCTGCTACGTACGATGTTTCAGTGTAGATGAGAGACTTTTGAATTTTATTTGAAAACGCCAGTGTGGACAGCTTACTTTTGTTAGATGGCTTAAAGCACTGTTTATTTAGTGTCGTTGTTCTGTTGTATTAATTTGTCCTATTGTTTTCAATTAGTGTCTTATTTGCCTTATTTAGGTGGTTACAGATCATAAGAAGTCATTGTAAAAAATGTCTGCATAGCAGAAGCTTGTTTAATCAGTGATAAAAATGTGAAACATTCAATTTATAATTATTGTCAATACTAATAAGTCCTGCAGTCCTCAGGGGACTGAAATAGCATATTCAGCCCATTTCAGCTAGATTGCATGTGCAATTAGAGAGCAGCTGATGATTATTTGATTAGTGAAGGCGATTATTGTCTGATTAATAATTTAGTCAAATGAAATGATGTGTACTAGTGCAGATAATTGGGCTGAGAGTGGCCCTTTGTCACACACACACAAATCGAATAGGAGTTTTTGGCTTTTGCTGTGATGTAAAGAGTGTAGTGTTGGCATGTGGATTGTACAGTGCTGTAGTGTTTGAGTTCAGCTGATTGCTGCTGTACTGACCACATTCACAGGTGGTGGATATGAAGCCAAAGCAGATCTTTTTTGAAAAGTCTTTTACATTTGCTTATGTAAAAATTGTCACAAATCAAGTCCAATGATGATGAGTAAGGTAGATTAAAGGTCCCATGACATGAAATTTTCACTTTCTGAGGTTTTTTAACATTAATAAGAGTTCCCCTAGTCTGTATATGGTCCCCCAGTGGCTAGAAATTTCAATCGGTGTAAACCGTGCCTTGGCTATCTTTCTCTGCCTTTGAGAAAATGAAAGCTCAGACGGGCTGATCTTGAATTTCCTCCGTATGGCGTCATACGGAGGAAAGGTAACCTCCCCTTTCTCTGCTTTGCCCGCCCAGAGAATTTGGCTCGCCCATGAGAAAATAAGCTAGGAAGTACGAACGCGCAAGCGCGATTTGAGTTTTTCCTTGAGAGATATCATGGCTTGCAAACGAGCGAAGCATGGCAGTTGATCAGTGTTCGGATGTACAAATGAACACAAAAGTATTTTTTGGTTCCTTCATCCAAGCCTCTGAAAAAGTTAATTTTATTTTCTCTGAAAAAGTGCCGACACAACTTCCCAAAGTTTTGTATGGTCCAAAGATTTCACCGACGACTGTTTCCTCAACTTGGGCCAATACAAAGCTGGCCTCGATGAACGTCTGAAAATAAATCGATCGAGCTAACGTTACCAAGCAACAATTTCTGATGTGTAGCCTAATTGTTCTAGTTCAGACAGGTAATCTTTCTCTCAAAATCGTTCAATACTGTTTATGCATCAGTAAGTCAAGCCATTGACTAAAATATCAACTTCAAATCGTTTCTTTTAGTAGGATGAAAATAATCTTATTTAAATTGTGAACAAATTATAGACAGAAAGCGATCAAAGAACAATCTTTCCACACAGCGAAGCTCTTACTGTATGTACATCATCTTGTTTGCATTGGGGAAAGCATTAGAGAGAGTGCAGAAACTGCGTTGCAATGATAAGATCTTCAGGCTCGCGATCAACAGACTGTCATCTGCTTGCTCAATGCTCATCACGGCAACATTTTATGTGATGGGAATAGATCTAAATATTTAAAAAACTTCTCACGATTCGTTAATCTCGATAGCTGTAATAGTAAAAACGTATAATAGCTGTAGTAAAAGTATTCGAGAGAGTTTCACATGTAATGCGTAGCTATTTCATATGCAAGCATGTCAGCCAATCACAGCAGTGGCCGCGGTTACACTGAATCCCACAGCAGACACGCCCCTTCAAACAGAGCGTTCAAATCAGAGGCTAAAATCAGGCTAGGAAAAATGGCTTTTATTTCTAAATTATGACTATTTTTGATCTAAAAAACATACTAACATTATAAGGGCAACCCAGGAAACATAAAATAATAAAATAACCCCATGTCATGGGACCTTTAAGCGGTTCAAAATAACAAGGTTTATTTAACAAGAGCAAACAACACAAGAGTACCGTGTTGAAGGAAATATGGAACTTAAATATACAAGGTGATGAACTAAATACAGACAGGTGTGCTTGTTAGTGAATGTCCATGCCAACTAATAACTGGCGGGAAACTAGAACAAAGGAAACCGGAAGATGAAGAGAAACGAACTAAACTTTCTTCCACTTTCCTCCCTTACATTCCTTGCTACCCTTCCTTGGCACAACATTGATAGATGCGATATCCATATTATTTTAGGTTCTGGTATTCTGTCACGAATCAAGTCCAATGATGATGAGGAAGGCCGATAAAGCAGTTCAAAATAACAACAAGGTTTATTTAACAAGAGCAAAGAACACAAGACAGAGTGCATGGGACAAACAATACCAGACAAGGAAAGAAAGGAAATGAGGAACTTAAATAGACAAGGTGATAAACTAAATACAGACAGGTGTGCTCGTCAATGAATGTCCATGACAACCAACGACTGGCGGGAAACTAGAATAAAGGAAATGGGTAACTGAAGAGAAACAAACTAAAAATCCATGAAAGTGAAACTAGAACACAACTGTGACAAAAATAGTGTAAAACTAGTAATATTGTGAAATAGCTGCTATTGTAATATATTTTAAAATGTCCTTTAATCCTGTGATGCAAAGCTTAATTTTCATCATTACTCAAATTACATAATAATTTGGAACACAATGTAATCTAACTGAAATAATACGGATATTTGTGGAGTTGTACCGATAACATTGTGTTCCAAATTATTATGCTTGCGACATATCAGTAGGATTTCAGTACTAATGGTGCAATTTTATGCAAAAGGCATGAAAACAACTAATATTTTGCTAAAACTGAATGGAGATTATCAAACTATCATAAGATTTGTGAGTAATTTGCAGCACAAGAGAAATCCGTCAGATAAAGGCTTATTAAGGAAAATGTATTTAAAGGGCAACTATAGAAAAGCCACTGTTGAACAGCAAACATGTATTTGAAGCTGCTGGTGTCACTGGAGTCTCAAGAACCTGCGGTTGTGCGTAAAGTTGCATTTCAGCCACCTCTAACCAAAGCCAACAATAGAAATGTTTACAGTGGGTGTGTAATAATTTGGTACACAGTGTAAAATAATTTACGTGACATTTTAAAAAGGCTAGTTATTGCTTTAGTTCCACAGAACTTTGTTATTTTCTGTTTCATAGTTTATTGAGCCATTTTGCCGCCGTTGATGGATCACTGTTCCCTAATACAAAGCAACACAAATCAAACCAGTCATTTCTCTTTATATTTCTACTTCTCTCTTTCTATCTATGTATCTATATCTATCGCTCTCTAGTGCTGTTTATTATCTGGAGCTGAATGTCACACTGAATGGGTGTGTTGACACAGATCCATCTGACTATACAGTGTGATTTGTGTGTATCTGTGCCTGTAAAACCAAAAAGGTGTGCATTTCTTTGAGCCTTTCAGATTCTTCACACACAGCAGTGGCCAAAAGTGATGTCCGGAGGGGATATTTGTTTTATATTTAACTCTAAAACTTCAATTAAACCATCAAAATATGAGGAAAATATTTTATATTTTTTCAATATTTTAAATATGAGGGAAGAACAAAACACTAAACTTGGTCAAAGTATTAATCTTGATCAAATTATTTGGCAAACAAGGCAAACTACAGCTATAGATTTGATATTATCAAAGCAAGTGATTATTTGATACTATCAAAAACAAATGCATAGAAAAACAAAAATCTCACTGGAAAAAGAATACATTGACTACAGTATTTAATCAGTTACTAATATTTCGCTGGTTCTCGATTGTTTTTGCATGTGTTCATAATTTATTTGTATGACAACCTGGCCAAAAATAATGTCTACACAATTTGGCATGTTTCATTGCGTTATCACAAATACAACTATTGACTTAAAGCACAACGGTGTAAAATGCTTACCAAATCTTTAATAAGGGTGAATATGTCAATTTTCCTTGGCCGGACATCACTTTTGCCCACTACTGTAAATACAACTCTCTAAAAAAAAGAGTTAAACATGTTTTCCATTTCAAACCAGTCAGGTTTTATAGTCAAGTCACTCACAGTGTCCAGATCGTTGCTTTACAAGGTCCGACATCAGCATCTCTCAATATAAACACGAGTTTATTTGCCAGATTCTTGAGTTCTCTGGCTTTGAGAAGCGCAGACGCATGATATTTCATGATATTTCATGATATTTCTGCTCTCGGCAAGTCAAAGGACAGATGCCTTGAACTCCCACTTTCTCGTCATACAGACAGAGCAAAAATAATGCCGGCGCAGAACCCCACGGGTGTCTGGCTTCACTACGAGCTCCAGCAAATACAAAAGAGGGGAAACTTTTCTATACAGGGAGCGAAAGAGTGAGATCTGAGTGGCACACACATATAAAAGCGCCTATATATAGAGCACCCTGTTTTCCAGTGCACCTGCACTTCAAACACATCCTATCCCATTCAAATGTGAAAGAGCCCTTCAGAAATCCACGTTTGCAGCTGAACTTTGATGGTTTTCGCACTGAATGTGTGTTTCCGTCTTCTAGGTCGTACTATAATTCTGTCTACCCATCACATGGATGAAGCGGATATTCTGGGTGATCGTATTGCCATCATCTCGCATGGGCGCGTCTGCTGCTGTGGTTCCTCACTCTTCCTCAAGAAAAAATACGGTAGAGGCTATTACCTCACGCTCGCACGGGCCAATCAGGATCAAGTCACCACACAACGGTTCCCATCAATTAAAGAGGTAAACTGGCTAAGGCAACACTCACAATTCACACCACCAGTCAAACGTTTGGACACGCCTACATATATAGTGCTATTTCACACATTAAATTAAAAGTACATAAATTCCTTAGGTGCATTCTTTTCTTTCTTTTTTTGTTTGAACATTGAGTTTCTATGTACGAAGAACTCCATACGGTCCAAAAAAAAAAAAAGAAAACAATCAGTATTATTTATTATTTGTTAGTTTATTTATTAAAATGATAATACATAATGTAATAAATACATATATTTTATGTATTAAAACTTAAAATAGTTTATGTGCTTTTTATTCTTTTTAAAAATGTATATTTAGGTTTATTTCATTTCAGTTTTAGTAATTGCAATATTTGAAATGTTAGAAATTAGAAATGTTACCTTGACAACTAACTGAAATAAAATAAGTTTTTTTTTTTTTCATCTAATATTTATATTTTATTTTATTTTGGTTGTATTCAACTCAAATCAAACTTTATTGAGGGATTTGGGCAAATGTGTTGCATTATATCAAATTATATTGTATTATAATGTAATTAAAATATATATTCACTTATTTTATCTGCATTTCAATGTGGAAACAACAACAACAAAAAAACATTAAAACAAAAAGATTAATTAGAAATGAAGATATGCTTCAATGGCATGTTTCCCCTTAAAATAACATAAAAATAACAAAAAAATTAAATAAAATCTAGATGAACTAGTTGACGAGTCATATCCCATCCCTAGCAACCAACCACACGACTCTATAATTTAGTGGAGTAGAGTTTAGCATGGTCAAAAATGTACGTTTTTAATTTTGCATTTCATATTTTGTAGTGTGATAAATTCAGTGTGGATGAGGGAATATGCAGTGACAGCATCAGCAGTCTGGACCCACCAGGTTTACAGCTCACACACACACACACACACTCTAATAAACACACACACACAAACACAGTGTCATTATGTTTCTGTATAAATGTATTTTTATGTTCCTCCTGATCAGATGTGGCGGATCTGAGTCGACTGGTGCGACGGCACGTGCCGGAGGCCGAGTTTCTGGAGGTCGTAGGTCAAGAGCTGGTGTATGTGCTGCCCTACGCAGGCGCCAGAGACGGGAGCTTTGCTTCTCTGTTTAAAGAGCTGGACATGGAGAAAAGCACTCTGGGCGTCACTAGCTACGGGATATCAGACACAAGCCTGGAGGAGGTACATATAGGGGTCACATAGGTGACATTTACTCTTGTGGCCAACACTTTATGCAATAGTGATACATCTAATGCAGAGGAAGTTTCACCAATGCATCTGATTTGTATCTGTTTAAATTTCCATTTGCCTTTGATGTGCAAATGCTTACTTTAGCTACAGATACTTGGCTCCGGATCAATGTATCACAGACTATTTAATTATGATATATCAAAGATCATTACCCAATTCATTCCTTCAGTTTCCCATTCCTCTCTTCTGTTTTACTGTAAACACATCAGTTATGTGATATTTTCAGTTCACTTTAGGGTTTTTAAGAGAAAGAAGAAAGTTTTTAAGATAAAGAAAAAGAGACCAGCAAACCAGTGTGTTAAGTTGCACTTGTTTAGGAATTTAAAGAAATATCTCAGATTTATTGTGTTTAATGCTCAATGCTGTTGGTCACCTCAGAAAAGCATTATCATTAATATCAAATTTCATGATTTCAAAAATCATAGCGCTGGTAAAAACAGTAATATTGGGAAATATTATTCAAATGTAAAATAACGATTTTATGAATATTTTTTTTTGTGAATTAATATATATATATGTTTTTTTCAGGATTCTTTGATGAATAGAGAGTTCAAAAGAACAATTTTTTTAAAATAGATATCTTTTGTAGAATCATAAATGTCTTTACTATCTCTTTTGATCAATTTATTGCATTCTTGTTTAACCCTCTGAGGTCTAAGGGCATTTTTTCACTTTTTCCTTCGATTTTACAAATCTTATTAAATTCACCTTTTAAAGGTAATTACATAACATAATCCCACATGTTTTATATCAAAATGTGCAGAGAAAACCCAGCTCTCTTACTGGTGAGTTCACCACTTGTCCTGGAGAATTGTCTAAAGAGAGAGAGAGGGATAACCTGTCTCTAAAAGGTGAAAAATTTAAGTCCGATTTTTGAAATTCTTCAAATCTCTTGTGAAAACATACCATTACTCATGTGGACGAATTATTTTGGTCCTTGAAATGGGTTTCCCAAAGTCTTAGGGTCACAAAAGTAGTGTAATATATGAATAAAATAGTAGATAATGAATAATCATTGTCTAAAGTGACATTTTTGAAAAATCGTTTTTTAGTACAAGTTTTGTCTGTGACTCTACCTTCACCAAATGTTAGAGGGACTGAGATAAAATAGGACTAAAATAACTTCCTACTACATATCAAGCTTTATGGGATGTGTGCAAATGAAAAAGTAGCATTACAACAGGTCTTTCTTTCAAGCAAAATGTTTACTTTGTGAAAAAAACTCACTACTAACAATATTCACAAAATGTACACATTTTCATGTTTTACATGTCAAAAAAAAAATTCAAACCAAAGATGAACTATATATTAGAAATATATATATATATATATATATATATATATATATATATATATATATATATATATATAAACTTACCACTATTTACAATATTTACACAATGTGCATGTTTTCATGTTTCAGTTTTTCAGCTGTCATGCCATGCTGCAAAACAGTTTCTGTCCAGCTGCATGCAAAGCGCAACACCACACTCCCTGCATTTCCAAGGTGTGTCCTTTCTCTGGCCTTGGCTTTGGCAATGCTCACACCTGCTGCGACCTGTGGTGGCTTTTGTGGAAGAATCTGCTGCATGAACGGCAATTGGCACAGGAATATGACCTGCAGGTACCGGGACCGGAGCAGTGTGAAGAGGCTTACCACAGAGTTCAGCAGTCAGCTCCTCCATGAAAGCTCTGTGTGTCATGGGTGTTGTTTGCTGGGCCAGACAGAGTTCCTTGTGGAGGATGTAGCTGTTGGTGGTGGCAATGTCCAGAAAATGGTAAAACAGGTGTCTGTACCAGCGCATTGTTTTGTGTTGTGCAGAGTAATATTGAATGAGCTGGTCTGAATGATCAACTCCCCCCATGTGTTCATTGTACGCCAAAACTGGTGTGGGACAGGGGATTGATGTGTTTGTCCAAGAGCCATCTTGTTGTTTCACCCTCCTCTGAACAGTGTTACCAGAGTGTGCTGTGTGAAGTGTGGAGCAGACTGATACTTCTCTCGTGTCCATCCATTTCACATAGATGAGGGGCCCGTCCCGGATCCATCTTATGGAGCCTCTTTCTGATTTTTTTGTGAGGGCGTTATTTGTTGTCCGAGGGCAGTCCTTGCGGTTCTCCCTGTAGGTCCCACAGGCAGCAAATTTTTGCTCATGGAGAGCCCTGAAGAGTTTGGGGCTTGAATAAAAATTATCCATGTAAATGTGGTAGCCTGTGCCAAGGTAACCTGGTTGTACCAGGGACATCACAACATCATAGGAAAGGCCATGTCCAGAGGGGATGTCACTTTTGCCGGTGTAAACGGAAAAGTCCACTGTATAGCCATTCCGTGAGTCTGCCAAGACAAACAACTTGAATCCCCACTTTATCGGTTTTGCCTTCATGTACTGCGTCATCCCAGTTTTGGCCTTTGATGCAACCATTCTTTCATCCACAGCCACATCTCTGTGAGGATGATAAAATGACTTGCAGGCATTTTTGATGGTGTTCATCAGGGGTTTCAGTCTGAAAAGTTTGTCATGGTCAGCTGTGCCCTTTTTTTTGTCGTTCTGGACATCCTCTTCAGGGTCGCTAAGGTGAAGGTTCCAAGAAAGTGCTCTGTATCTGTCCCGTGGCATGATCTGCACTGGAAGTGGCAAAGAGAAGAAGTGATTCTGTCTCCAGTAATCTGCAATGCTGTCGAGTTTCACCATGGCCATGTACAGAAGCAGTCCAATGTACTTGTAAAACTCCCCTATGTTCACATCTAACCATTTATATTTCTTTCCCTGTGCCATTTGTTTAGCAGCCTGCTTGTTTGTGTTTTGGCACAGTGTTTGTATGATTTGTACAGGGAAGAAAAGTTTGAAGAGGTCGAGTGGTGTATATGTGGAAGTGGAGCTGAGCTGTGGCCCTGGTGTTCGAGCTGGTTGAAACCTGGAGACAGGGGGAGCGATGTCTGGGTCTTTTTCCGTCTTCCAAGACAGTGGAGCTGGCTGCTGTGTAGGTGGGGGTGCTGGTTGATGCTGGGCGTTACGGGACCTCTTGGCTGGCCGGGTTGGTGATGATGGCTGCTGTGTAGGTGGGGGTGCTGGTTGATGCTGGGCGTTACGGGACCTCTTGGCTGGCCGGGTTGGTGATGATGGTTGCTGTGTAGGTGGGGGTGCTGGTTGATGCTGGGGGGTACGGAACCTCTTGGCTGGCCGGGCTGGTGAGAATGACTGCGGTGTAGGGGCTGGTGGTGACCTGGTGGCAGGCACAGGTGAGGCTGCCTGTGTTACACTGGGCCCTGGTAGCTGTGAATCCTCTCTGAAAAAACACAAAAACATAAAGTTTACATCTCTCTCTCTCTCTCTCTCTCTCTCTCTCTCTCTCTCTCTCTCTCTCTCTCTCTCTCTCTCTCTCTCTCTCTCTCTCTCTCTCTCTCTCTCTCTCTCTCACACACACACACACACACACACACACACACACACAAACCAATCTCCACCTAACAAGAATGTGGAAGATGTGTGAGGATTTGACTTATTTTAACGTTATTCCAATTTATTACATGTGCTAGCTATCCTGTCCACCCCAAATCACAGCAAATAACACCTGAATGAGATGTGGGAATACTGTCTCTTCCATTTCAAAACTCCACAGAGATTTATAATTTTACATTCAGTATAAATATAGGCCTACTAAACATAAATAAAATTATATGAAAGATCAAGCCACATCTATACAAGTATAAACAATATGATAAAAAAGGTCAATGGCCAAACCATATCGATTCATCACTACAAGAGATAGGCCTAATGTTATTCAAATTGTGAATTGAGGTGAATAAATATTACATTAGTTATCATAAGGAGACCAGCAAGAACAGCCTACAACGTTACTATTTGTAAGTGTACCCCGGTTTTACACAAGAAAATAACTTTTACATAAAGTAAACACTTTGCTAAAGGCACAGTCAATTTGTCAAAGCAGCACAGCGCAGCTTATTTTAGCCAAGATGGTCACCATGCGAACGAGGTTTTTATAAAATAAATACGCTTACCCGTCCTCAACTGGATCTCTTCTGTGATCATAATCCTCATCTTCATCAGAAGAAAATCCATCAGGCTCGGAAACTCGCCTTTCATCCTCGTCGCTGCTATCCAAAATCGCCGCAAGTGCGTCTTTCAATGTCAATGTCTTCGCCATTTTCTCTCCTCGTCTTCTTCTTACTTTTCCTCTTCTTTATATATATTTTTGCCATGTTTTTTTCGCAGACTTTTTCTTTCGCGGACTTTTTTACTCTTTCTCTCTCCATGTCAGCTGGTATTTTCCTCACTGTGAGGAGATGGGAGGGTACTTAGGGATTTCAACCGCATCTATTGGTTGGTTTCACACAAAATGCAGACAGGCAAGCTAGCCCACCAATCACGCACGGTGAATGACCATCTTGTCTTCCCTCTTGCTCTCTGTGTGAGTCACATATGATCTCGCGAGAATAAGGACGTTGAAGCTGAGAATCTGTCGATTACGGCAAAATCAGAACCATTTATGTGTGCTACACAATCGCGGAGATATTAATAGAAACATTGAGTAAACATTGAGTTGACGCGCCCGCGCGTCATCCGACCTCAGGGGGTTAATAAAATAACATTTTTTAAAATAGTAATATTTTTTATTTAATATGAAGAAATTTTGTTGACAACTTGTAAAAAGTTGTGAAATTGTCCAGATGAAACTGCGGAATAACAAAACGTGTTTAATTTCACAGATCTTTCTGAAGGTGGCTAAAGACACAGGTGTTGACGTGGAATCGAATGGTAACATCCTTTGTGAATATTCACTCCATTTTACACTTTAACATACTGTATCACCATCTCCAGTAAGTTTATCTAAGACATATTTTAGGCTATGTTCATTGTTCACACCATCAGTCCAAATCCGATTATTTGTGTGTCCGATTGGAATCTGATCGAAATTATCTACTGTCCACACACTGTGTATCGCAACTGTTCAGATCTGAGTTGTGTGTTGTGTGGTTCTCTTTCGTTTTCCGGAATATCTGCACTGGTTTTGATGGCAATGATGTTGTGTTGGTAGGAATGTTCAAAAACGCAAAAAACGCAACATGGAAGAGGTATACAATACAAATGTTGTCTTATTTACAACATGACAATGTGTATCCGGCGCGCTGGACTACTACTGAGGCAGCGGCAGAAACGCATGCGTGCGTTTTATTCTGTGCTGTCACCTCTCCACCAGTCTCATAATTCAACATGTCTCCATTTATATTGTAATTTTCTGATTTTACATTTTACGTGGCCTGAGAAAATCACACAACTCACGCGAAATCCGATTAGAGCGGTCAGACTGAAACAGATTTACAGGAATTCGATTTTAATAGGACTTCAAACCACTTGAATGAATGTATGTAGTGCATGAATGTAGCTCGAAACGGATTTGTAAAAATTCCATTGCATGTGATTTTTTGCAGTTTACACTTGCTAAATACGATCGGATTCCAATCGGATATGTACAAAAATCGGATTTGGACTGATAGTCTGAACGAGGCGTAGACCATTTTCCACCCTTTCTTTGGCTATGTTCAGATTGCAGACAAATTCGATTTTTTATCAAATCAGATATTTTAAGGCAGACTGTTCGCTCAATTAATTGCAAGTAATCAAATAAGAAGTGTGTGTCCAGACATAACCAACATGTCTGATATTTAGGCCTAATTTAAGATTTTTTGTATTTGAATTGCATACAAGAATTTGGATTACACAGTTTACACATAAACAATCTAATAAACTTATTGTTATGCATATTTGTCAGTCATGTATATGAAACGGGTAAGATTTCTGATCATACTAATAACTGATTTTTTTTTAAAATACACAATTACCAGGTTTATACTTGTATCATCAATAAGTCAAATTTGTTTCAATCACATGCATTTTAACTAAATTAATATATCTTGTTCCACAACTAGACATATTTTAACCATGTTCATGCTTTATTGAATTTGATTAAATGCTTTTTGAAAATGATTATTTGTATAAAATTAAATAGATGCAAATAGTTACTAATAAACTGTCATGTTTTTTTGTTTTGTTTTTTTTGCATGCAGAAATATCACCTGTTTCTTGACTGACAAAATATGCACCTCATTAATTGTATTAGTTTGTTAAAACTGTGTAATCTAAATGGATGGAATTTTTTTTTATGCAAATCAAATTAATTGCTTAAATTTTCTTAAATTTAGGACTAAATATTTTTGAGTGCATGCCCTCTTCCCTCTTAGCTGCACTCACACACAATCTGTAAGTTTGCTGTTCAGTTCGATATAGTTAGAACCATATTAGCTGTCTTATCCTTCAGAAAACAGCCTCTTTGCAAAACTGTACAACATGGTGGCTGTAACAACTGTACTGAAATGTGCCACTCAAACGGATAAGATCAGACTAAAATTATCTGGGATCTTGTTAAAAATAATTGTAAACCTCTCGTTTCTAACAGTGCGATCCTTCAGAGTGATATTCTTTCTATTTAAGAGCCTTACGGTTCCTCTCAGATAAGAACGGTCCACTCGAATAAGAGCAGGGATGAAGTGTTGCAATTGTACTCTCCTGTCTCACCTTTGAGTGTGTGTGATTGTGTGTAAACGTGTGTTAATGCTCCCTCAGATAAGAACAGGCCAGATGAATAAGCTGGAAGTATCGCACCCGCACTCCTCCAGAATAACCTCTGCTGTGTGTGTGTGTGTCTGTTAATGTCTCACAGATAAGAAAGGAAATTTTGAACAAAAGCCCAGAAGCAGCTCAAGGATATCAGGAATACAGACTATCAGCTCAGTATTGGAATCCAAAGATGAAAACACTGAGAAAAATGGTACGCTCAAACATAAACACTTATACTGTATGTGTTCGAGAAAAAGAAGAAAAAAAACATACTGACCCGTTCATTTACAAACCAATCTTTTGTAAAATGTAAGTGATAGTAAGAAAATAATGACTTTGTTTAATATCTCTGCTCTATATTGTTTTCCCCTTGTTTTGAAACAGAGGTGAAGGTTAAACACACTAGTCGTGTAGAGGGTAAGTAAAAGATCTTCCATTTTTCCATCTGTAAACATGATCGGCGTCTGGCAGCTGTAGTAGTGAGCTACTGTACTATCATGGTGCTCTAGCTTCAAACTACTGGTTGTTTGCGGCATTGGCATGTTTTTTTGAGGCCAGTGCTGCATCTGGCGCCATTATCATAGGACACTAGATAGAGCACAATGGAATGGAACAGAACATGTAATTGTTGAGATAACTTTTCTAAAGATGAACTCTTTCTAACTTGGCAGCATCTTAAAATGTAAATTGCATGGTGCTATACACTGTAAAAACAATAAGATGTGACAGCGGCCATAATGTCTGTCTGATGCATGTGTACATAAGACCAATAATAACAAAATAACACATATGGAGTATAAGAAGCAAACTGCCCCTTAATGGGCACACGAGCGCCTGCTGTGATGGTTCAGTGGATTTTAGTGCTGCCTGGGTTCATTTGAAGTGCTCACATTTGTTATTGTAGACATAACTTTGACACAAATGAAATTCTTCCTTCAGTTTTCTGTGAAAATGCATAAATTGTAAAGTATTAATACAACACAACAGGCCCTGCAATAACAACACGTATCCAAACAATATAAGTGGCCCTACAATACTACTTATTATCATGGTACTCTTTGCTGTTATCATACCATGAGACATAATTTAGGTATTGTAAAAAAAAAAAAAAAATTATTAAAATAAATAAATAAAAACCTAGCAGTAACAGTCATGCAGCTGTAACAGTCAGGTAGCTGTAATAGTGAGATGTATAATAAGGGGCTTTTGCACCAGGTAGTTCTATGAACTTAGTTCTTGGAACTAGCCACCAGGGTGGTTCCCTTAGGAAACTTTTCCTGGTTGCATTCGCACCACCAGTAGGAACTCTGAAGTGACGTAAGCCGCGCAAGTTGTTGTGACTTTTATTTTGACGGCGCTGAGGACGCCAGCCAGAGCCTGAGCACACAGTGCTCGCATTCTCCATGGTCATTAGTTTACGATCTGTCTAACAGTCCTGTCTAATACGTTATTAGATAGAACGGTCATAAAAGTAGACAGTTCATGAAAAGGTATTAGCGTATGCCGTGTGGTTAATATCCAGTGTTAGCCTGGGTTTCCCCATACTGCCTTTGCGCAGCGCGATTTTATTCACGCTGCTAGGCAGTCTGGATACCATGGAATGGACCAAATTTTCGCCTTAGCGAGGGGACCAATCACAGAACGGGGAGGGAGCAGCAAGAAGATGATGACGTCTATGCGACACACCGAAGCAGTTTGTTACCTATGGATCAAACATGGCAGCAGACGCGAAGTTACCTTTCGATGCAGCCTTGGATAATCTTCCTCGTCTAATTTCTTTCGCTCTACATACGTCATCTGGTATAATTGAAACGATTGGCTATGAGCTACGTACAGGCGCATTTGATAGACATTCGTAGCACCCAATAAACGGCTCTGGGCATTCGTAAACCAAGCCTCAAATACGAGAAAATGAACATGTGGTTCCCAGACCACGTCTCAATGTCAATGAGACGTGGTCTGACGTTAGCCAATCTAATCCAGTGTCGCTAGCTGAGCAGAAATACATAATCATGTTTGGCTTGGTCCCCTCAAAGTTGCGTTGGATTTTCTCCTTCGCGTAAAGGTTAAGAGGCCCATTTATCACTCTTTTCCATGTTCGTAGAGTTAGTTTGTGGAATAAATATATAGACTATAAAGCTTTTTTTTTAAAAGAGCGGGTGCTGGCATAGATATCCATAATAAAGGCTAGTTGTCTCGTCCGCGCTAATGGCCAATGGAGGTCGACGTCCGCACCTGGCGGCCATCTTGTCACAGGCAGCTTGCTCACTCGTAACATTGTGTTTTAATGGTGCATGTACTTTTTAAATAACCATAACTTGCTACATTTTCTACCGATTTTCAAATGGTTTGGTTTGTTATAAACGTCAGAGATGTAGTTATGACACTGCATACTTATGAATAATAAGTGTATAAATAAATAATCATCCAGAATTATAGCCATGTTAATAACGTTTGTAAGAAACCAAACCAAACCAAACCAAACCAAATCCGTCAAGATTTCAACGAGATAAGAGTATTCGTGTTCGTGCTGATCACTCATCTTACATCAGGTACCACAGAGCCCGCCAGAAAGCTTGCCTGTGACAAGATGGCCGACGGTGATGACGATAGAGACTCCGCCGTAAGACATCTAGCCTTTATTATGGATATCTATGGGTGCTGGTGTTTCGCGTGCGTTCGGCCAATCATCGTACACTAACGTCTCGGATAGTTCCTATAGTGCTGGTTTAGACCCTACTCTGAAGTAGGAGCTAAAATAGTTCCTCCAAAAGGAGTTCCTAGAACTTAAAACATTCCTAGTTCCTGCAGTGCGAACACGCCAAAATCCGGGTACTTCCTCCAATAGTTCTAGGAACTATGAAAAGGTTCATCCGATGCGAAAGCCCCTATTGTGTGGCAACAGTAATAGTTAGGGTAGCTGTAACAGTAAAGCGGCTGTAATAGTGAGAAGGCTGTAACAGTGAGGTAGATCATGTAATAGTGAGAAGGCTGTAACAGTGAGGTGGATGTATTAGTTAAGGATGCTGTAATAGTGAGAAGGCTATAATAGTGAGGTGGATGTAAGGTAGCTGTAATGGTGAGGTGGCTGTAATAGGGAAGTGACTGTAACGGTGAGGCAGCTGTAACAATTAGGTAAAGCACCAGTGAGGCAGTTGTTACAATAAGGAAGGTGTATTACTGAGGTAGCTATAATAGTTGACACAATTGTAACAGTGAAGTATTTGTAATAGTTGTAATAACCCATGTGAATTTATTGTTTACGTTACAGACATCCAGCGCCCCATGTGTGCGAATGGCAAAGGGTCGTATGTCATCATGGGTTGGTCACTGATCAAACAGCAGTTTTTTGCTCTTTTTATCAAACGATTTCACCATGCCCGTAGAAGCAGAAGAGGACTCATCGCTCAGGTAATACCAACAGACATGTCAAAACAAATACACTGTAAATACCCTCTTCCACTCCTTTTCTTCCTTTAAGTCAATCTCACTATATTTTACATTCTGCAGGTGTGTAAATTTAATAGGTGTTATAGGTTTAGGAAGTTCTGAGCTGCAGCGTGAATCCAAGCTCAATTGATTAGCACCAAATGCATTGAAAATCAAAATACAAAAAATATAGTTGAAAATACGTCTCTGCGCTCATGAATATGTTCTTTAGCAAAGCATGAGATTGTCATTTTTGGTCAGGGAATAAAGAGCTGTATGCAATTCATTGCATGCATTAAATGAACACAACTAAATACTTTCCATGACTAAGGCAAAAAATATATCAAATATTTCAGCTACAAATTTATAGCTGTTCCTACTGGGTTTTATGAAGGCTGTACAGTATGTAAATACAGACCATGTTCTCAGCTCTTGGTCAAGTAACTACGATCATTGTGCACATTTTCCATTTTTCTGTATTGGCTGATGCTCGTCACCCTCGTTCTCTCAGGGGAAAGATGTTCCATTGTTTTCTCCTTCATTATTCCCGATGCGTTCTCCGTCTCCGGCACATTTACATTTTCCTCAGTGTAAACAGAGAGTGTTTGAATTGGGTGTTTGAATTAATTGGACAATCATGGAGTGTAATTAATCAGCTGGAGTGAAGCCGTGTCGTCGACTCCTATGCAGCCTGTCTCTCTCTCTGAGATTTTGTGTGCACTGGTTTCGCTCCGTCTGTCAGCGGAGAAATGGAATGAAAGGAGAACATTTGGAGAGATAGCAGAGTGGAAGAATAGAGAGAAATTAATTATGCTGGGAATGAAGGGTGACAGTGCCAGTTTTTGAAAGTGTTTAATTGAACCCTTTTACACATCTAACTAAGCCAACACAAGCACATGACACTCGTCTGCCAAAGAGAGACTTGCGCCACTTCCGCACGCAAACCTGCAGCTTTCTGCGACACTAGTGGCACCTAGTGGAATTAAAAATGAAGTATACTTTCAAACAACCTTGAAACGCACCTTGCGTGCCTCCCACAACTCAAACATCACAAACACAGGTCTTACGGGTGCTTGTGAAGGCATGTCTCAACAGGTAAATAAAAGGTCCAACATATTAGGAGTTTCTTTAACTGTGTTGCTATGTGTCATAAAAAATTGAGTAGGCTAACACTTTGTCTGCAAACGCAAGCGTCTCGCTTTTAATAAACCCATCCGGCGTATCTGCATTGGCCGCAGTTTTTGAAATGAAACGCCTCAACTGTTTGAGGTTTTTAACACTGGACACATCAAAGTAGACATTATAAACTGGTACGTTTGTCTTTATAAACAGGTGCATGATGATATTGTTTTGTACCAATCACTTTGATGTGTTCATGACATGTTAATCTAGGTCTAAGTAGTGAAATTTGGCTTGCATTCCTGTACCCGAAGTTGAATGTTATGGAAGCTTGTTTCCGCCACTGAATACAAATAAAAAGGTAATTGCGACTCTCACAATTTTGACTTTTTTTCTTGCAATTGTGAGTTTACATCTCGCAATTCTGACCTTTTTTCTTGGAATTGCATGCTTAATCAAGCTTCCATAGAATTTCTTTTCTCATGTAACGCTTTAGCGATGGTCTCACACCAACTAAACACCAGTCTAGCCAGAGACTATTTATATAGAGACATGCCACTTCATCAATCCTTAATACAACTATATAGGGAAAACCCGTAACGCCAAAGATGGCGGTTGTATGCACATGTCCCGCCCCTCCCGCTGGAAAGCCAATCGTCTGCTTTTAACAGTCAAGCCGGGAAACATTTAAGCCTATCGTCTGGTTCCACTGACGCATGCGCACAGTTTAGGTTTGCGACAGCGCAAAATACGTTACTGTTTGAAAAGGCGGCAGATTTGATATGCAGTGTATGTGTGAGTTGTGTAATATCAGACATCAGAAGTCTCCCGCAGATTGATAGCGGCTCCCTGATGCCCGCAAATTAGTTCAAATCTCCCGGAATCTAGAGCGAGCGACGAAGAGCTCGCACATACTGTGCTTCAAACTGTGTAGCGCGCGCACGACAGAGGGAGAGAACCCTTGCGCATGCGTAGTAAAAGTATAACCTGTGGGGGAAAAGGCGTTTTAAACCTTATTTTGGGGCATAGTTATCAAACTTTTTCAGCGATTTTTATCATATTTTACTGCTGTTTATATACATGCAGTTTTTATGTCCCGGTGACCAGTGAAACTGCAGTTCTGACTCTCTGCCCATTCATTTAGATAGGAACCTGGTCTTGTTAGTCCGAAATGGCTGCCCGGAGGCGTTGCCAAGATGGCGGCCGAGTGGCATGACTTGCCTAAAAGGACTTTGGTCTAGCTCTACCTGCTAAAGTAGCCACGCCCCAAACTCACTCTATTGATTGAGCTGGAAAGTGATTGACAGATCTGAGCGGACTACTCTCAATGTTTTGAGAGGGTTTTTTTGGTGCTCGGGGACTCAATGTTTGCACTTTTGAAAACGATAAATCTAATAGAAGGCTTACTAATAGTTTTCAATGAACAATAAACTAGGCTAAAAGAATGTATTTTCACTAGTGTTGGGTTAGAGACCACCTTATTTAAGTCCAAAAGGGGCAGAGTCGGACTCAAGTCAGAGTCCAAAAGGGTAGAATGTGAGTTGAGTCAGAGTCCAAATAAATACTACCACTGTACTCTCGTGAACGCGCGTACGGCTGTTGTCTGAAGCCAGTGATTATAGTTTATAAAGTTTTAAATATGGTTATTTTTCTCTATCCAATGCCATTACAAAGCTGGGAAGAGCCAGGTTACTATTTAATATAATGATTGCGGTTTGGATGAAAGAAGAACGTCATATACATGGCTTGAGGGTGAGTAAATTATGGGATAATTTTCTTTTTTGGGCGAACTATTAATTTTTAGACAAGAAAGGAGCGCACACTTTGGGTGTATGCGCCATCCCAGTCAGCGTGCAAGTACCGAATTTAATTCTCTTTTGCATCTTATTGTGCTCAAACTATTTAAAATCGCTTGTGCGTTTAAACTGCCAAGACTCAAAACACATGCAAATGATAGATTTTTGTCACAATGCAGTTGACATTCCCGTCAACTGTGCCGAGCGAATTTCACAGACAGTGCTGGACTCTGTTACACTCGGAAACATTTCCTAAAGGCTTGAGTCCGAGTCAAGAGTTTGTGACAAGTGCAAGTCAGTAAAATGTTGGGCTTGAGGGCGACCTCGAGTCCGAGCTACCCAAACTCAAGTTTTAACATAAAAAAAATCTTATATACTTCACCTTTAAGTGCATATGTAATGTGTGTGTGTGTGTGTGTGTGTGTGTGTGTGTATCAGGTTGTGATGCCGGCATTCTTTGTGTGTCTGGCTCTCATCTTCTCTCTGATTGTTCCTCCGTTTGTGGAATATCCCAATCTGGAGCTTCAGCCCTGGATGTATGGAGCTCCACAGAATACCTTCTACAGGTGCGCACATGTTAAGAAACATTTATTATTAACGTTGAAAACTGTTTTTGCTGCTTTATATTTTTGTGGAAACAGTGATAATTTTTTCAAGAAACTTCAGAAGAACTACAGTACATTTATTTGAAATAGAAATTGTTTGTAACATTATAAATGTATTTACTGTAACTTGAGATTCAGCTAAGTTAAGCAGCAAATCAGCATATTAGAATGATTTCTGAAGAATCATGTGACTGAAGACTAATTATGCATATTCAGCTTTGATCACAGGAATAAATTACATTTTCAAATATATTCAAATAGAAAACTGTTATTTTAAATTGTAAAGACATTGACCCAATAGTCCTTTTTTTTTACTCTATTTTTGATTTAAAAAAATGCAGCCTTGGTGAACATAAGAAACCTAATCTTACAGGCCACAAACTTTTAGAGTTAATTATAGTGACTACATTCGACACAATTTTTTTCTTGGTTGATAACAAATCTTGTGTCTGTATGTTGTAGTTTTGATGGTCCCGGTGTAGATCAGGTGGAGAAAGTGACGAAAGCTCTGCTCAGTTCACCAGGATTTGGAACGCGCTGCATGAGCTCCAACCCCATACCGTGAGCAACACACACACACGGTTATTAGACACACGGGTGGTGTGGTGTAGCAGCTGACCATGTGCTTTCTGTTCCCCCTTCAGTAAATTACCCTGTAACCCTGCGGGAGGCACTGATTGGTTCACTCCTGCGGTGGATCCATCCATCAGTGAGATCTTTGAGAAGGGTAACTGGAGCTTAGAGAACCCGTCGCCTGAATGCCAGTGCAGCACACCGCAACGGAGCATCATGCTGCCAGACTGCCCGCTCGGAGCCGGGGGTTTACCACCACCACAGGTCAGCCACACATTATTAAACGTATCAGCCTGGATTTAAAGTTCTTGAATTTGTTTTGCTGGTCTTTTACAATAGTTTAACATGCATCCAAGATCAAAAAGCACTTTAATTTTCTCATCATATACACAGAAGTATCAGCTCTTTTCTCACAGTGTCTGAAACGATTGGATCAAGGATTTGGTCTCTCTAAACCTTTGGATAAAGGTGTCTAAATGACTTAATGTAAAATCTTTACAAGAGCCTCCTCTGCTCTGATTGGTCAGATGGCACAGTGTGTTGTGATTGGTCGATCACTTAAAGCGCGTGTCGGAAACCAAATGTCCATTACCATATCTGAATTTCAGCTCTTCCTCAGCTCTTGATACATAGTTGATATGAACAATAATGATGGCGTCAGTTTTACCATATTCCAGGCTGAGTCCTTATCCTTTGGATTTGCATCAAAGTAGACTTGCTTTGGCAGCGCAAAAAAACAAAGTCTTCTCGGCATGTTGGCAAAATGAACCATAGCACGATGTCTCAGCTACAACTACAGTGTTTGAGGGTCAGAGTATGTTGTTTGCGAGCGGCCAATGAAGACCATAGGCTGGCACTATGCAGATTTGTTACAAACCTATATAGGTTTGTGCAGGAAGAAAGACTGAAATAACTGACGACTCGTTTTATGCAGTTCATAATCGCTTCTTTCGTTTTTGGGAGACAATATTTCCACTGTCATGCACTTAGCAGACATTTTACATTATTAAACAGCTATATTACACACTACATGAAAGGTGATATTCCAAAAAGCATAATAGGGGCAGTTTAATTAGGTGAGGCAGAGTATTGGACATTTTCAGATTGTATTGCCAATCATGGCTTGCTTATTGTCGATGATTTTAAAGTTGTTATTTTACATGGTCAACTGCATTTTTTTTGCACCGTGGTCATGCAATCTGTATACATTATGTGTATAAGGCCTAAAAATTATCAACATGATCAAAACGTTAGACAAAGGGGAGCTGGAGCGCTGCTGGTATCCTTTGTATCCTCTGGTGCTCTTGGAAGGGTTAATTGTTCATAAAAAAGAATTGGAAAAAATCCAAGTCCAGGCACTCAGTAGGATGCAAAATTAAAAAGCCTTTATTATTTTAAGGGCTAAAACATACGCGTTGGTGTTTTAATGTTTTAGCCCTTAAAATAATAAAGGCTTTTTAACTTTTGCATCCTACTGAGTGCCTGGACTTGGATTTTTTCCAATTCTTTTTTTATGATCAAAACTTTGCTGAAAAAAACAGTTGCATGCAATTTACTACATGCCTTTTGTTGTCTGATAGTAAAATGTTTTTTAATATAAATGTTAAAATCTGCCCCTTCGGGTCGTGGTTCATGTGTCTTTTTGCTGTGAAATCTTTCCTGATTTTTTATAAAGTACATCTAAGAATAACATTATATTGTTAGTAATATTTCAAGATAAACACTTACTGGAATGGGGTCTAATGTTGTTTTGAATTTTCATTTTTTATTTTCACTATCATTCTAACCAATCAAATGGAAGTGCATTTTTTCTAATATTGACATATACAACCGTATTATATGGTGTTACCTGTACATTTATTATGTGTGAATTGCCATAGAGAAATGGTTTGTCCAACCACTCCAAACAGAAGATAATGACCCAAAAGTGCATGATCATATCCAACAGTTTTACCACATTAAACATCCTGGTGATCTCATGACACATGCATTCATTATCATATGTATACATTTAGTTTTAACATCTATAGCATAACTATAACATCTCACGGACTACACGGTTCTCTGTCATATCAGCAGATATGCAAATCACTCCTCCACAACGCTGAGTATAAACTTAGAATTTATTCTGGTTCTCTCTCTCGATAAACAAGTTTTCTGTGAGTATACTGCTGAAAACACACACACACACACACACACTGAGCTGACCCAGTTTGCAAACATTTACATTTTACTGAACTCTTGATTTTTAAGCTTCGTAAGTAAAGTCCTAAACACACAGGAGATGTTTTGTCTTGAAACATAATCATGGATTCAGATAATGGAGGCTGGATGAATCTTATATACTGCCTCAGGGTTTTAGATTCTGTGCTTTAAATGCTGCTTTAATTAGACCAGCAGCAAACACACACACACACACACACACACACACATAAGAATACCCTGAAGGTTTGGGTGTGGAAAAAAAATAAGTATTTCTATTATTTATTTTTCTACTGTGTGCAACAACTGGTTTTCTGTAGAGTTCCTAAACTTTCATTTATATATATATATATATATATATATATGGCATGCTTATTATATATATATATATATATATATACTTTTTATACTTAATATATATTGTTTTCATTTCATGTAATCAAAGTGTTTCGAAGGTAAATGAAAATTGAAACTTTTGTCGTTAAATATTTTAAATAGGTGTGGGAAAAATTTACAAATTATGTTCTTATAATTTACATTTTTTTAGGTAGTTGCACCAGTTTCAGTCTAGTCGCTTTTTTATATACTTCTAAAAATCTTTTTGCCGTTACAACATGCAAGCTATGTAGCTGCTTGAATCTGAGCGTAGGAGCTCTAGGTTACCTTAGAAACGTAAGTGGTTTGCCGTTGATTGCTGTTGTGACACTTGCGAACAGCACTGAACACACACTTTGGCTGGTACAACTTGAAATATATTATTATTATAAACGTCTCATAAAATTCGGTATGCTGTACAAAAAAGTCATTTTAATTGGCTGCTTTTTTCTGCAAAAAGCTGATCTCTAGTGATAAATGTTATTGTGTTTAAATTTTATCGATCATTAGTTTGGTAAAGGGTGAGAGACCTGGCGAACCACAGTCAAAGATTTTTGCCAAAGAAGAGCAAAGTTTTGCAAAGTTTAAGCAAAGTTTTGATCATGTTCCCAATTTAGAGACCTTACAATATGTATTTCAGGTAAGATACAGTAGCTTTACAGTAGATTTAATATATATATATATATGCCTATATATAGAAATTTGGTCAAAGCAATATGATGTTCTGTTTTGATAAAGCAGGGAAAATTATAAACATAATTTAACATAATTATAAACATAATATAAAAATAAAAAAAAATAAAAAAAAAATCACGCCAGGCTTTCATAGGCACTTTTCATATGAACTGAACGAAAACAGAAACATATGTAGAGATCCAGATGAATGCTGCTCTATCAACAACAACATAAATGTATTTATTTATTATAAATAAATGTTGTTATTGTATCAACTATTCATCACATTGATACGTATTCATTAAACTGCGTCTGCAAGTTTCATAGGGCCTGAACTGAATGCATTCCAAACTTTACAACAAAATAAAATTTTTAGATAATGCTTTTTAGGTTTCATTCTTGGTTGTTGATAGTAATCATACAGTTCCTCCAAAAGTTTTCACAACACTGGTTTTAAAAGTAAAAGTGTGAACTATTAACTCACTTTTGTAGTTCCACGATCTGGTGCGTTTTGAGGAATTTAAAAGGAGGAATGTTTACATCATTAACCCCTTACTAGTCGGCCCCAATTTTGGCAAGTGAAGCATTCATGACATACCCAAAATAAAAAGGTTGCTGCTCTTAAGTCATTCTGAATAGACACATAACCAACATATATTTAGAAAGCCAACCCTTGAGAGTTTACATTTCAAGACTCAAAATTAATCAGACTGTTATTAATATTGAGATATATAAGCTCAAACATAAAAACAAAAACAACAAATATTAAGAACATATTTATTAAATGTATAAAAATATTATGTGAATTTAGGATAGCAACTTGAAACCACAACTAAAGTGTAGCCACAATTGTGGTCATGCTTCATTTAAAATCTGAGGATGATATTTCTAAAATTATGCATTTTATTAAGCCTATTGTGAAACCATGTCAGGAGAGAGTTTAGAGAAGTTTTATAGGATGCTAATATAAGATTCTCATCAAATATTTTATTGCCCTGTAAACACCCATTTACAGTCTCTGACTAATGTCTGGCGAGGAGAACTGGCCCATTCATGTTCTTTTCATTTAATCGACCAACCTTTCACACCTATGCCGGTATGAGACTTAATCTTCATTATTCTTTTATCCTTATTCTTTTGTTTGAATTCAGCCATTATAGCCTATATTGGCCATCTAAACCTCTCTGATTCCACCCTACATGATCAATCCATCTATTATATTAAGTCTTGTTAGAAAACAAACAATTCTTGGAACTTTAAATGCGAATTATTATTTTTTTTAAATGATTGTATGAAATGGAATAGCTTCTGCAAGCAGGTGCATTAGCACAAGTAGCCTCGAGCTACATGACACAATTTAATGTATTAATAGCTGGGTTTCAGTCACGTGATTATGATGACGCGCGAAATTCAGATGGAGGGCAGGGAGTGAAGAGCGCAATGGACGAGATGGAGGAAAGTCCGTACTGTACTACTTTACACGCTATTACAAGAGAAAGATATAAACAAAAAATCAAACATATGTTGGACGTGATCCTTGCGTTATGAAGAGGAGCGATTTTTCAACTGAATTGAAAGATTTTCCTGACATCGAGGCGGTAGATATCAGCAACTACATTGTCTTACAGACATACTTTGACTTTACAAAGTTCGGAAACGTTACACGTTACACAAACATAGCCACTTAAGTTGTATTAACTCACCTTTGACGAAGTGATCACTGCACACACGGGCATTTTCCCATCCGGCTCCTCCCGACCGCAGACGTAAGTTTGCAAGCCGTTTTCACGGAGTTTTTCAGTCAATTTCTTTAATTTTCCCCCCTTATGAACAACAACTTTTGGTACACGATAAAAACTCCTCGTGGTTTGATCGATTTAAGTAACCATAAACGATGCAAAACATAGGCATTTTGAGTTTGTTATAGTGCTTTCTAAATACAGCAAATCACTTCCTGCCCTCCATTTGCATTTCGCGCCATGGCAACGCAGTGGCGTGACGTCATATGAAAACAAGCTATATTACACTTTTATTCAAAGTTCACTTTAAAACAACATCTAGTATTTGTATCATATGCCGGTCGCGGATTAAAATGGTTTCAAGTCATGAAAAGATTTTGAAATATGTTATATTTAGCATTTCAGATGAAGCTATGGGCTAGCATTTCCTAGCATATGCATTCTGTAAACATTCTGTATTGATATGAAAACCCCAAATCGCACGAAAATCAAACACAAAACACATAATATTTCAATCGTGCATTTATTAGTTCCTTGTTTCGGGTGAAGAGATGTCAGTTTCGCTTTGTTATCACGGATGTCCAGTATGAGGAAGTGTACACATGACGCGTCATGCAGAAGAGGTCACGCTGGACCACGTGAGATGATTGACAGCTGTACAGCGAATGATATAGCTTTGAGGTCAAATGTGACGCGATTCAGGAAGAGAAGACACACATCTCGCTCCGTTCGCTGTCTGAGCTCTTTAGATCGCACATTTCAGTGGTAAATGAATAGAAATGTTATTCTTTATGAAGAAATATTTTACTAGCATGTGATAATTATTAATCATTTCTCCAAATATGCGCACCATTGGACTAATAGCCCTGGCGGATGCTGTATATTGTATGTATTTGAACACAAATAAACCGGAGAACACGAGAATTAATGTTTTATGAGTGATGATTTCTATTCAAAATAACGAACATTACAGATTAATTATTTTGCACTCCTGGCATAAATTAAGAAATTAATATCACTGCAAACCAGTTAAATCATAAACAGTGGTCAAACATCGAAGCTGTAGACTTCAACCTTTCTTATGATGCTGAGTTCGTCCAGATCAAGTAAGAGTGAGATGTTTTGACAAGTAATGAATTTTGAACAACACTAATCCGGGATCACCAGTGATCCCTGCCTATCAAAAGATGTTGTCTTCTGAAGTCATATGATGCTTTGAGTGAGGAAAAGACTGAAATTCATGTGATTATTAAATGAAAATGTGGCACTTCATAGAAGCTCCCATTAGATTCCCAAAAATTAGTCCATGTGACATGTCTTCTGAAGCCATACTATTGCTTTATGTGGAACAGACATTTAAGTTTTGTGAAAATCTTTCTCTTTCAGTAATTAAATTTTAGATGGTAACCTTAAAGTTGCTTAAAGTTCTTCCTCCACGAACCTACGTACTGTATGTTTGTTACAAAGTCGCATAGTGCCAGCCTATAGTCTTCACTGGCTGCCCACGAACAACATCTACTTTGACCTGCCCTTAAACATTGAAGTTGTGGCTGATGACTGGAGAGTTTGGATTATGATGTCGGCATGTCGAGACAACTGCTTTCTGTGCTGTCAAAGCAAAGGAGTTTGGTTTCTGACCCGCGCTAGACCAATCACAATAGACTGGGCCATCTGACCAATCAGAGCAGAGTCAGCTCTTGTAACGGAGGGATTTAGAAAGACCAATCCCTGTTCGAACCTTGATTGAACTGCAATGCATATTATGTGAAAATGTAAGTGCTAAGTGTATTGGATGCATGTAAACCAAATTGTAGGAGACCTCTACAACAAAATTTGGAATCTTTAAAATAGCATAATAGGGGCACTTTAAGATACTATTCAAGGAAAATATGTTACTTCATGGAAGCTCCCATGAAATTCCCCAAAAATGTGTCCATGTGCACTATATTGCAAGTCTTCGGGAGTCATAGCTTTGTGTGGAACAAAAATGTAAGCCTTTTTTTTTTTTTTTTTTTTTACTGAAAATCTTTTTCTTTCAGTAAGTAATGTCCAGATTGTGCCCCTTAAATACGTCTGTTTTTTTGTCTGTACCTCTGGAAATCACTACAGTAAAATGCTAAATGGCATCACATTAGCCCACCGACCTTTTCAAACACCTTCCACATCCATTGTGTGTCTGCATTATGCACTTACTGGGCAATTTATGTTGTTGTAAAATGTATTTCACTGCAAACGGCCCCCATTAAAGCATTTTGATTGATTATTATTTACCGTCTGGTCTTGGAGACGTCAGCTGTAGCTAACAGGAGCACAAGCAGTTTCTTTGATCGGCTATCAGACTCAGTCAGTAAAGACCCATTCTTCAGTTTAATCTCTTTATATTTGTGTCCTTGATAACAGAAAGAGAGGAGGCTGACGCTTTGCCTTGGTTTCTTAATGAAACACTGGTTTCCATGGCGATGACAGGTCATCGGTGTAGTTAACTTGATTTTTGGTATGAACCCCACAAAAAAAAGGCTTTTTTTTTATACCATATAACTTGACTCGTATACACAACTGCGTTTGTGATCAACACAAAAGCGAAGCCCTGAATAATTTGAATATAGACTGGTTTTAGTTCACAGCTTTACACATCATCCCATAGAAAACAAGTGGAGATTTGCCAAAACAGTGAGATAGAAGTAATATGGATTAAGTAATGGATAATAAAGTAACCCTAAGTTGCTTCAGTCTAGTAAGTGTTCATCTTGAAACATTACTAAAAATATAAATGTTATTCTTAAAAATTCAGTAAAGATTTCACAGCAAAAAAGACGCATGCGCTACGAAGAATTTGTATCAAAATTAGCTAGTATTTTTTAATATGTACATGCCATGTAATAAGCAGGATAATGTGCAGTAAGCTAAATAAACAAACCCTCCACTTTGTATTATTCTTTTACATACTGTATAATTTAAATGTAATTTGTTCATTTCTGACAATATCATGCATGTAATTTGCATCCATTAACATCCACATTTCTATGGTAGTCCAGCTTCTGTCTAAAATTTGGCTAGGAGATTTGTTGGCAAAACTCCAGTTTAATTTTGCGGAGAGGAGAGCGGGAGTAAATGACAGATGATGAAGATTTGATGTGATATCTAGCGGGCTGCAGTCATTTGCAAGGGCTGAGAAACAGCGCTAATTGGTGAGAACAAATACTCCATTAAATGATTTGATGATCATTTTAGTCTCTGTGTTGACACTCAATTTCTCATTGAGATTTGATGCAGGACATATCAAAGGTATAGTCCTTTTATTTTAAATATTCAGTAGCTTTTATGTTACTCTTTGCTGCTTGATGCTAGTCTGATAATAGAGCCCAAACATCCCTTTCATTTCCTCCATAGGGGAATTGATTTTTAACTGTAACGTATAAACCTTTAAAGACAGCAATACCGTGAGCCCCAAGGTTATTAATCGATGGTATATGATTTCGTTAAAGCTATTGTGCATTATTTCAGCTTATTTCAACAAATTCCTGATGAAAACTACATTACCCACAGTTCTGCAAATAAATCTCCACCAATCAGAGAATTGCAATAAGCAAATCCTACCAGAATAATTATTTAGCTCCACCCACTACCATGAAGCAATGCGAATGATGTAATATAGTCTCCCTACACTCTCAAACTACTTAAATATTTGTATATAAAAGCATATTTTGCAATAAACATAACATATTTGTATATAAAAGCATATTTTGCAATAAACATAAAATATGCACATTCAACATCTTCTATTGCAATTATTTTTAGGTCATGGAAAAGGGGACAATTTTTGATTTGATAGACATGGACTAAAAGCCACAAAACCACAGTTTTGATTTCAAGGAAAAAGCAATATTAGAATGTTCTGTTCCCTCTTCTCTGTATCTCTGTATCAGCATATAATAGATGTTTATTATCACAAGGCTTCAACAGTGTAACCCTGTGTGTGTGTGTGTGTGTGTGTGTGTGTGTGTGTGTGTGTGTGTGTGTGTGTGTGTGTGTGTGTGTGTGTGTGTGTGTGTGTGTGTGTGTGTGTGTGTGTGTGTGTGTGTGTGTGTGTGTGTGTGTGTGTGTGTGTGTGTCAGAGCTCTTTCATTTAGCCCAGTTTCTGTGTGGATCTGAGTCAGCGTCATTAGCGTCACACTGATAGTGAATCAAAGAAACACAGGGTGTGGGTGGTTTTATTGTTTTGATTATTATTCTGGAAGAATCTCCCTGTGTGTGTGTGTGTGTGTGCACATGTATCAATCTCATGCACTGAAAATGAAATTGTGCAGTCGTTGTATTTAAAGGGATAGTTCATCTAAAATGAGAATTCTATCTGTATTTACTCAGACTATTCATCCCAAAGCCACACATGAAATGAACATGAAAGTGGACATTTTGGAGAAAATACCAAATGAATTAGGACTGGGACTGTCAAGCTCTAAAATGACAAAAAGTACTATAAAAAGGTCCACATAGTTGTATTTTTACTATATTACTAGTTAAACTAAAACTAAAAAAGTATAAAAACAATTGAAAACATTTATAAGGTTTTATAGCCTGGACCTTCCGGTCACCCCGGGGTCCCAAGTTATTTCTTCCTGAGTTGTGCCGGGACAACTTCACACAGGCATTTGTCAGCATGGCAAAGTGGGCATTTCGTTCTCCAAAGCGTCAGCTGGGATGTGGCGCGAGTACCCTCGAAAGGGAACATCTCAGGTTATGCCTGTTACTATGGTTCCCTGAGAGGGGAACGAGATGCTGCGTCCCCTTGCCATACTTGCTGCATACCTGGTATCTGCTTGCTTCAGCCTATTAAAAGCTGATGCTGTCTTCAATGATGTTGCCGGCTTCCCTTTATAGCTTCCGGCACACGTCACGAGGTGACGCAAGATTGAACTGGTTACACACGTGCTTCAGACCCAGTCACGCTGAAGGTGTTCCCCAAAGCGTCAGCTGGGATGTAGCGTCTCGTTCCCCTCTCAGGGAATCATGGTTACATGCAAACTTGAAGTTTTTTTTTATGGTTTTAGTTTAATATAATAACCCTGATGTCAGATGAAGCGCATTTTATGTTACCGGACAATACATTTACAGTGTATGTGGGTTTGTAATTGTTTTATTTGGTGTGTTTTTTGTAGAGAACTCAGAACACCACGGACACCCTTCAGAACGTCACAGCCCGAAACATGACCGACTTCCTGCTCAAGAACTACCAGAAATCAGGCAAAATACGGTAATGGCACACACTCATTTCACAGCATGTGCAGAATAAAATATGATCAAACAAGCATAATTTGGTGTGTTTGTGTGTGCGTGCAGGTATGGAGGAATCTCTGTAGGTGGTGTGAACTCGCAGGTCAATCTGAATGAGTCTGACATTACAGCAGTGATCAGCAACCTCAAATCATTCTTCAACATCTCACAGGTGAGAGCGCTGCCACATTAGGACATTACTGACATCCTGCCCTCCAGAAATGACTGGTCAAGTGTGGCATTATGGGCATTTTTGACTGATCACAGTCTGAAGAGATAAGTTTCTGATTGATGTGATTCCAAAACCTTACAGCTCATTGCATTCTACAAACCACAGGGATCTGGCTGCTGGCAAGATGTTTATGAGTTTTTTCCAATTATGTTGGTTTGGTGGTATATTAGGTGTCCTAAATATATTCACTGTTGCACCACTTACATGTTTCCTGATTTCAGTGTTATTTACAGAGAAATTGCAAATCCCTTTGTTGTAATGTTGAATCATGCTGTAATTACTATATTTTCCAGAAAATAAGTTGCACCTTAGCACAATTGCATTGTTAAGAAAAACAAACACAAAACAAACAATAAATAGCAAAAAAAAAAGATAAGTCAAATTTTATTTAATAAAATTTCATTTATTTAATTAATAATATAGCAGTGCTTAATATAATTTATAGTAGTGTTCATACAAACAATATTTATTAAATGCCAAGCCTAAACAGATTTACAAAACAATAGCACATTTGCAGTTTTCCTTTGCATACTGTACAGTCAATTTTAAACCTTTTTTTTTACTTTTTCTGTTTTCCGTTCACCACATGACCTATTGGTCAAAAATTGATAAACCATTAAATCATATTACTTGTGACTGTATTTATGATTTTTCATTTACTGTACCTAAAATAATCGTAAAATGTCTTTAATTGCTCGTTGTTGCAGTTGGTCTGACACTCCCAGCCATGGTGGCATGACTTATCTTGTTCTTTGTGCTTGGCCCCGATAATTGCTGCTTACAGCTATATTTTATCCTGGTGTTGGTAACATCATACTAATTTTAAGTTGCAGCTACCATTTTTACATTTGCTGCATCAAATAATTTGTTCCGTTTGCATATACAGTATGTTTATCAAAACATGGTGGAAAATCGCCATTTAAATATGCATGAGAAGCTTGAGCACATGTCAGTGATGTGAAGTGTGCTTTATTTACTGTTTTTTAATGGCATGCAAAGCATTTCAGGCCTTTGAAACCATTTAAATTAAGTGAACATTCCCACCAGGTCTTCACTTAGCATTTGCTTATCAAATATGGAGATAATGTTTTTCCCTTGGTGCAATTGTGTTGAATTTTTTAATACTTAGAAAAGGATATCTGTTGCTCTCCAGTTGTTGCTCAACTGTTTATTTCCATGAATATATTCCTTCATATACTCTTGTCCTCTTTAAATAGCGAGTAAAAACTGGTTTGAATAAGGCTGCCAACCATCCTGTATAATAGAGAATTGCATTCTGTATTAAATCTTTTTGACCTTACTATATAACCAGCTCGTTAATGAAAAATTTATAGTCATTTGTAAATAAAATATGATTTTAGTTTATATAAAAATATACTAAAAGCCTTCACATCTCCGGTGCATGCCTGTCAAAACACATTGCATTTCACCAAAACAAGATTGCTGTAGGCTACATATATCCTGCATTCAGTTCAGTTATTATAACTTAAAATATTATAGTAACTTATTCTTATAATAATATAGTAACTTATAAGAGTTTTTTTTTAGTAATGATGCTGACAATTCAGCTTTGCATAACAGGAATGAATTACATTTTTTTTTAAACCGAGGACTTTTTTACTGTTATAATATTTCACAATATTATTATTTTAATTGTGTTTTAAAAAATCAAATATGATCAAATCAAAAAAAAAAATCTAATCAAATATGTACATAAGTTGCTCATTGCAGTTTGTAAACTGGTTCAATACTGAAAAAGAATAACGTCAAAATAATGATTAATTTACAAGCTGAAAGAATATAAATTATAATTTGTTACTATCAATCATTCCATTGATGCACATCTTCCCATGGGTTTGATGTTAATTAAAATATCTAAAATACAATAAACAGTTAGTCTGTTCATCTCCACAATTCTCTCATATTATAATTTACCCAGGTAGAAGCTAAAATGATGTGTGTAATGGTCTGTGCCACCCTAGTATGGAAAAATGATTATTTTTTTATAAAATATGCAGATGTCAGAATCAAAGTGATTACCCCTCAAATGCTTTTAAGCATTTAATGTGAATATCCTTTTTATTAAAGGTGCTCTAAGGGATGTCGGGTGACGTCACTTCTTGTTGACCTTTAAAGTATTGTCAAACAAAACGGAGGCTAGCTAGACTCTCCCTCCTCCTCATCCGCGCACCAACCCCCCAAACCCCACCCCAAGTCCTTCTTGTCAGTTATTGGCTGGAACAGTTTGTTATGTTTCGTGGAGCGGGTTGCCGCAGTTTGTTTTTGTGGAGCCTAGGGTGTCTGCAGAGGCCGTGTTTTTTACAGTGTGTTCAGGGGACAGGCAGCTAGCGGATAGTGAGGAGATGTTTGCTGTATGTGACAAAAAATGTTTTGGCCTAAAAAACGTGTGACATCGCTTAGAGCACCTTTAACATGCATATCTGCATGCATAGACTAAGACTATGTAGCATTTCGTTTGTCTATGTGCAATAGTTATCTCAGTCTGTGATTTATTATTTAGTTTTTTTGGTAACACTTTTCAATAAGTTTCCATTTGTTAACATTAGTTAACTGCATTATTTAACATGAACTAGCAATGAAAACGTCTAGGTTACGACTGTAACTTCTGTTCCCTGAGAACAGGGAATTCGCACTGCGTCGATGACGCTATGGGGAACGCCTCCGTGTGAACTGGTGTCTGAAACGCTTATCTAATCTCGGCAATCCTATTGGTCGGTGACAGCCTATGACATCACTACTAGTGTGACCTGGAAGTATATAAGTGGAGCCTGGAGAACGTATTCCTTACGGCCACTGCCAAAGCTATAAGCCTCAAAAAGGCCCCCGATACAATGAAGGCCTACCAAGGCTGCTAAAAGGCTTTGGAGCCAACAACTTCTGTGGAAGGAGTTCCTTTAAGGGAATATGGCCAGGGGTCCAAAGGAGTATCGTCCAGTCACTTTCTGAGGAGGACATGAAGTCAACCCCACATGCCACCAAGGAGGCTAAACTGGTCAAATTTGCTGACCTAGTCTTGCCAACAACTTGTCTGTTTCCTAAACAGGGTCTCTAACATATTTTGCCTCACTTGTGGAGGCATCCGATATGGAGGACTGCAGATAGTAGCAGTAATCGCTCACAGACCGGATGATAGAGACGGGCATCCTGGAGAGTAGAACTCAGCATAGCGCTTTCTGACCCTCTGCAAACGAGGGGAGTGACTCTACTACAATCCTGGATCTAATCACTGGATCTGCTTCAGGGCCCTGTGGAGGCTGGGCACTCTGGAAGGGACCCTGATAAGGGGAGCACCTCCAGATCTAAGGTTTACATTGCCAACAGGCAGTGTACTCAGCAGAAGGTTTATCAACCCTTTAATGCAAGGGGAGTACAGTCTTACGCTATAAGGCCTACAGCTTCGAATGTCATGGGCGTCAGCCCGGGCAGTGCTTCGGCTCTAAGGGAGCATACTCATCCATCCCAAATGGAAGGGAGTAACTAATCTGTCTCTTCCTGAGCCTGGGTGGTGAAGGGTGTAGTGTTCTCTAGTATAAGGTGGCAATCAAGGTAGCCCGACAAGGGCCAAATGCTTGACACTCTAGATCTATCTGGAGCTGACAGAGTGGTGGCCTCAGTAGAATAACTCCCGCTAGGGAGGAAGCCATCTCACACAGAATGTCTGTTTGATGCTCAGATGAACGGTGGCCTCACTAGAGAATTTTCCATATAATAAAGCCAACCTGTTTACTACTACAGATTGGCACTACCCACTACATAAGCCTGCCGATTCTAACATAAGAGGAGGCCTCTGGGAAGGGTATGCATAGCCTACCTATGTATGGGAACTTCAGGGCCCTAATTTCACCATCCTATAAAAACCCTACCTAACACCCCCATGATACTTTCTAACAGGGAACCGTGGTCTACTGTTCAACCTTACTAAAAACACATACACATACCCGTGTTCGCGCATCCCCTCAACATCAGTGTAGTTTGTGCGCTGATGGTGATGAATGCGCACTGAATATGGGTTCTTCCATGCCTTTTCGATCTCATTGTGTAGATCAGGCAGGAATGGAAGGCTCACGAGAGCTGGAGCGTTATGGCTGGAAAGAAAACCATTTGTCAAGTCTGCCACGAGCAGTCTCTTTCCTCACTCGCTCCAACGGCAGCTGAAGCCTCGCTGAAGCGCATTACATAACACTCACAACTCATCATACGCGGGGCAGAGTGGCTGTGAGGGTTCGGGTTGTAAATCCTTTTCACCCTCATCAGCCATCTCCTGTTCTCTTGGGCTGGTTGTTTTTATAGCCAGCAGAGTACTTGCTGCTGGATCAGAGGAGGTTAGTTTTTTTGACAACACATCCTCATCCTGCAGCTCACTCTCGAGTCTGAGACTCAAGTCTCTGAAGGCCGTGAGAGATTAACAATTCTCTCCAACTCCTCAGCGAGCTCCCTCTGAAAAACCCCACGATTCCAGTATCCGCTCTGCCTCAGCGCAACGGGACCCGAACCGCCTGGTACAGATGTCTGTCCCTCTTCCCTCAAGAAGAGGGCAGACGAGAGTGGAGTTTTCTCAAGGGAAAAACTCATAGTTGGCACCAGCAGATTCTTCAGGAACTGATCATGCGTGCTCTGAGCCCAAACAATAAACACACAAGTTGTGTGTGTCATCAGGTGTCAAATATCTTAGACACAGATGCACACACTTCCTGAAGCATTTTTCTCAAGCCATGATTACCTTTTTGAAGTTTCAGGTTGAAGCGTACAGACAAGACAGTCCCTGAAGACGAAAAAGTTGTTGACATGTTCTTCATGCTCCCCTTATATACTTCCGGGTCGCAACTAGTTGTGATGTCATAGGCTGTCGCCGGCCGATAAGATTGCCGTGATTAGATAAGCGTTTCAGACACCGGTTCACGCGGAGGCATTCCCCATAACGTCATCGACGCAGTGCGAGTTCCCTTTCGAAAGGGAACCAATGTTAACTAATAGGACCTTATTGTAAAGTGTTACGTTTTTCTTCAGTACCCTGATTTTTATATTTGAGATCCAAGTCACTGTCAACCCAACACAACACTGTGTTCAATAATTGTACAAAATTTAACAAAATATATACCTAACCCTGGTTCAACCTTATGGACATTTTTGTCTTTTTCAGTGTTTTTCTTTTTATAATTTTGCCTGTGTTAATGCTAACTGCATGAATTTGGCACAGGTGTGTATTTTGGAATTTTACTATATCAACCCCATTTCCTTTAATAAATCTATTTTGCACTAGGTTCGCAAAATAGTTCCTCTCAGGACCTTTTGGACAAAAATGTCCCCATTGAAACCCATTAAAACTGCAATTTTTAATCCCAGGGCCATTTAACTATAAAATGATGCAATCTTTGTTAATAGTTTTCACGGTTTGATGTGATATGCTAAGCGATCGTTAGATTTAATCAGCACGATTTACTGCAATGCTTTTTTCCCCTTAGTTGGTCAGAATAAAATTGGATGTTACTTGTTCAGATGCCATTTTCAAGTGAAAGTTCTTATGTTGGTCATACTTCCAAAAAGTAGAATCTGTGATTCCGAATGACAATATCCACACCGGCGTGGTGACTGACAGCCGCACATTCTCCTCAAAACATTGGATTCATCCGCTCTGTGCCGTGCCGAGGCACAACCCACGTAAAGTTGATAATTCCGCGAATAACTGCTATTGCAGATTTTGAACAGAGATGGCGACAAAGAGGAAAAACTACGGACTGCAGCTTTAAGTGTGAACAGAATGCAATGTTTTCAGACACTTATAGTAATTGCATGTAAATCGTGATTACATTTTAAAAAAGTATTAGTTTAAATTTGTTAATTGCAATTAGCTGAACTTAAGTGTGTTTTTCGACCCACTTAAGAAGGATTTATTGCATCTTCACATATAATTTCATAATTACTTCTATTGTCTTTGAAATATGATTAAAATGTACTGCTAAATGTTCTGACAAGCATTTATGGTAAACTTTAATATCATTTTTATTGAAACCCTAACCCCAATCAAACATTTTTAATGAAAGTGAAAATGCTGTACATTTAAAATATATTACCTTTTAATGTAATATCAAATAATGCACTACTGTTAAAATTACAAACCGATTAAAAAAAATTAAGTTGATATCATGGTCTTTGATATTGATAATGAACACTATAAAATGAATGCTTTCTCAAGCTGGAGTTTGTTTGTTTTTTGCTCTCCTAACAATGCATAATTTTATGGGCAGTTGTGTTTTATTATTATTTATATTTAGCACTAGGACTAGCAACCCTAATTATTACACAAAATGTAATGCTGTTGAATCCTTGGGGATGAACAGAGTTTGTACTTAAGAGCGCGAGTGAGTCTCTCCGGCATCGTGCCAGTGTCTGTATCGTCTAATGGGATTTTAATGCTGCTTAGCTCTGTGATGGACGGATGTAATGCTAATAGCAGGACGTTAGGACTCCCTAACAGGCACTGGAGAGTTTTTGGCACCTTCACTTTGAGTTATTAGTGTTCAACCTGTATTTACAGTGTCGCCTGTGGAGCAGCAGACATTATCATTTGTGTCTGATATCTGTCAGTCTCTATTGTTTTGTCTGAAGTGGAATTTACCTGATTTGTATACCTCATAAATATGACTGCTTTTAGGCAGACTGATAAAAACACATGGCCGTATTTTCAGAAGTTGTGTAAAGTCCAGTCAATCAAGTTAGAATTTATTACAGTGAGAAAGTGCTTTCATGTTGTTATGGCCCTTTGTTGGTGTAATGGTTTGGAGGTAGTAACATTAAAATTGTATTAGTTCACTTGTATGCTGAAGTTTCACCGTTTCACTTCCCTTTTACATAATAAAACACCCAGTGTTTTATTATGTAAAAGGGAAGTGAAACGGTGAAAAATATGTAAAATACACTACCGTTCCAAAGTTTTGGGTATGTGAGATTGTTTACATTATGCTCACCAGGGCCGCATTTATTTGATCAAAAATAAAGTAAAAATATTAAATATAATATTAAATAAAATATTATAAATAGTATTACAATTTCAAAAGGTTTTTGCTATGTGAATATATTTTAAAATGTAATTTATTCCTGTGATTCAAAGCTGAGTTTTCAGCATTATTGCTCCAGTCTTCAGTGTCACATGATCCTTGCAGCTGATTTGCTGCACAAGAAACATTTCTGATTATTATCAATGTTGAAAACAGTTGTGCTGCTTCATCATTTTGTGAAAAACATGATACATTTATATTAGTGTTCTTTGATGAATAGAAAGCTCAATAGAAAATCATTTATTTTAAATGGAAATCTTTGTAACATTATAAATGTCTTTACTATCACTTTTGATCAATTTAATATGTCCTAGCTTTATAAAAGTATTAATTTCCTTAAAAAAAGGTTACTGACGCCAAACATTCGAACAGCATGTTTCTTTCTTTATACAATAATGGAATTATCTCTCTCTCTGTGTGCAGAATAACCAGACTGAACACATTTTCCAGGCCATTCGGTTGGTTCTATTGGAGATGGGCACCAGAGACAATGTGAAGGTAAGCAGCAGGAAGTGGCCGTATTTAGACAATATCTACAGTATCCAATATCAGAAGAGATCAGAAGTACATCATTTGAACCAGATTTTACCATTTTGAAAGGGAGATTTTTGAAGTTGAACTCCCTGAAATGCCTCGATTGTAGTCTTGAGTTTTCTTCCAAGAACATACACATCACTAGCCTGGCTCCGCCCTCCTACGTACTTACGCTCAATTTAAATTTTCCTTCAGTACTACATCTGGGTTTGCTGTATATTCTTGGGTTCTCTCAGATCAATTTTTTACCGGTCCACTGAGAACGATGACGTTTAGGTGCGCTAGTTTGAGTTGTAGACATACATCACGACCAAACGTTAGCGATTGGTTATGGCAGATCCAATAGTTTTAAACTTCAACAGAGTACCTGCCTTCAAGGAAGTTAATGCTTGTCAATGGAGAGTGGCCAGACTCTCTGTACAAATGAAATGTGTACGAGAGTCTGGTAGGACCAGGCTAACACATCACAATATTCCTCATTTAAATAATTCCCGTCCAAGACATGCAAAATAAAGGGGTGAAGCCTGGTAGAGTTGCGTTAGTAGTGTGTTGAAACTCGCAGTTATGGTAAGAGGTGTGACATTTCTGAAACAGTCAGAGCACATTGTGCTTTTCAGAAGGATCAGCTTCATAGAGTTAAACAGAGCGTTACTGACAGACAGGGAAGAGAGGTGCTGCAACAGTGCAAAATATGAAACAAAGGTGCTTTTTGAACATTCAAGCATGAAAACCTATTCTAGTAGACCCTAAAAATAAAATCAAGACTTTGTAACATGGCATAATGTGGCCTCTTTTTAAAAAAAAAAAAGCACAGATGGAATGTGAGAACGTCTACCGTGTGAAGGTCTCAGATTGACAATTGTGATTGTGTTCACTGCAGGCCAGTGATATAGACTGATGATCAATGAGATAGAAATAAAACAAACTAAATATTGATTTCAAAAGGTTTTGATGTCTCATCACTGATTTGCTTTTAACAATAATTTATTTTGCCTAATGTCTAATGATCTTTCTTTTTAATCAATTTATCATGTAGAGACATTTATTCATTCATTCAAAGTTTGCTTCCTTAAAGAGTGATGTCATTTTGATAACGGGGCATTATGAGGGTAAGAGGGTTGAAGCGTAACCTGAGGCGTAACCTTTAAAAAGAATAAACATGTACATATGGACAAAAAGATAAAAAACTAAATACAAATAAATACTTATTTACGAATATGTAAATTAAAAATATAAGTTGCTAGGCTTGTATTTATTTGTATAAAAATGCTTGTAATAACACATAACATTTGACATTAACTATTTATTAAGTTATTCACATATTGAGTTATTAAGTGAAACACAAAGGCATCCGCATTGTACAATGTGTTAATCATTGTATATACTGTAGGAGAATGTTACAGTTTATTGTTATTGTTAGTGTGATATTACAGTTTATTGTTGGTGGGAAGAACTAGTGTTGTTTTAGTATTATTTATATAGTATATTTATTATTTTTTGAATGAGGTTTTATTTTAATTTTAGTTTGGATTTAATTTAAGTTGTAAATTCGATTGAACATGTACATTTTTATAAATTGTTTTGTTTTATTTTAGTTTTAGTAATGTTAGTAATTCAACTTCAACTTATTATTATTTAAGGTTACCACGGCAGATTTTTCAAGTTTTTTTTATCTAATAATTATATTTAAATTTATTTGAATTAACAAAAATGATTGTTACCACTATTGTTAGTGGTAACATGATGGACGTGTATTTGAACAAGTGTGTGTTTGTGTAGGTGTGGTTCTATAATCAGGGTTGGCATTCACTCGTATCGTTCCTGAACGTGGCCAGTAATGGCATTCTGAGAGGAAACCTGCCAGCGGGACGCAGAGCAAATGAATACGGCATCACAACATTCAACCACCCGCTTAATCTCACTAAAGAACAGCTCTCTGCTGCATCACTGTAAGTATCACACAACACACACATACACAACGACTACAACACACGATTAGAGCAATTAAATAATAATACACATGTACACTATATGGACAAAAGAATGGGACATTATTGAATTCATATTTTTCAATCAGACCTATTGCCACAGGTGTATAAAATCAAGCTTTCTTGATTTCTTGACCATGCATTCTACACTTGTTTGAGGGGGAAAAGAAGAACTGTTCTGAAGAGCTTAGTGAATTACTGCACGGGACTTTGATAAGATGCCACCTTTGCAACAAGTCAGTTTGTTTATTTAATAGTCAACTGTAAGTGGTATTATAGGAAAGTGGGGTCATTTTGGAACAGCAACAACTGGAAGTGGAAGACCACGTAAACAGAGCGGAGTCACCGAGTGCTGAGGGGCATGGTGTGTAAAAGTTGCCAACTCTCTGCTGATTCCATAGCTGAAGAGTTCCAAACGTCCACTGGCATTATTATCAGCACAAAAACTGTGCGGCGGGAGCTTCATAGATTGGGTTTCTTTGGCCAAGCAGCTCCATGCAAGCCTCACGTCCACAAGTACAGTGCCAAGCGTCGGATGGAGTGGTGTAAAGCACACCGCCACTGGACTCTGGAGCAGTGGAAACATGTTCTCTGGATGGATGAATCATGCTTCTCTGTTTGGCAGTTTGATTGGCAAGTGTTGGTTTTGCGGATGCCAGGAGAAAATTACCTGCCTGGATGTGCCTACTGTAAAGTTTGGTGGAGGAATAATAGTATGCCGGGGCTGCTTTTTCAGGGGTTGTTCTCGACCCCTACTTCCAGTGAAGGGAAATCTTAATGCTTCAGCAGCATACCAAGACATTTTTGGACAATGCTTCCAACTTTGTAGGGACAGTTTTGTAAAGGGGGGGGATCAAATATTAATGTCTATGTATTTATATTGCGATGTCATAACAGTCCCTGTTGGTGTAATGGTCAGGTGTCCCAGTATTGTTGTCCATATAGTTTATTTTGTATTAATAAATCACATTACTGTTATTATTTTTATTATTAAATGTTTTTACCTGAGGTACAGTTACAATGTTAGTAATGTTTTCAAATTATGCAAATGTTTTCATGACAACCCTTTTGACCCAAATATATTTTAAAGAAATAAACTTTTTTTTATTCAGCGAGAATGCGTTAATTAAAAATGACAGTAAAGACGTTACAGAAGATTTCTATTTGAAATAAATGATGTTCCCTTGCAAAACTGGGATGCATTCCCTGTCTGAACGTGTTTGTGTGTGTGCGCGCACCTGTGTTTGTGTGTGTATGTAGGGTTTTTTGTGTGTTCATGCATAATTAAACTCAGTTTGTGAAGGCATGATGATCGCAAAATATTTGTATGAAGATTAATGGTTTGAAACAAGGTGTCAAAAATGGACCACAGTAAGAGCATTGAAGCATCATACTGATCACTGACACACAATGCGTGTGTGTGTGTGTGTGCGCACGCATGCACGCAGGTTAAATGACCATCTTCTTGTCTGTAATGAGGTCGTCAGTTCCCTCTAATCATGAATAATGCAGTCCTAAACCTCAATCACCTTCACCGTGTGAAAGATTGTGTATTCAGCATCAGGTCTCACCTGAACGTCAGTGAAGAGAGAGTAAGAGATTGAATCTATTAGGCATAAACAGCAGGGTGTCAAAAAAATGAGACATGAAACGATGTCCCAGAATGCCCTGCGTGAGGTGGTTGTTGTGAAGTCAGAGTTTGTTAAAGTTTTATTCCCAAGTAAATTTTGACAAGACGAACTTTCTCAGAAACCAACATGGCATCTCGTTTTAAAACCACATAACTACCTATTAATCCGATGTTACAAGACCAGCATCTGTTTTTAAACATTTTTCTTTGGTTTGGGATTTGTTTGGGGTTTTTTTTTTTTCAGAAATGTAACATGTTACCAAGCAGTTTTGGCCAATGCAAAGCTGTTATATATGATATCACACTGTTTAATTTAACCGTGGTAAATAACACAAGCATGACAGTTACTGCATTATATTAATTTATTATATTTACTAAAATAATTGGAAATAAATTATTTGAAAATGTATCAAGGAAATGAGAAAAAAAATTCTTGAAATGAATGCCAACGAAAAAAGTATTATAGAGTTTACCTTTCTGTTATTAGACAGAACTGTTAAACAAAGACCGAATCTGTCAAAATAAAAGTCCTACTTATGACACTTCATCTATTGGCCGATTGCAGATGATTTTAAAAAAGGCAAATATCGGCCATTATATATATACTGTAAACGTGCATGTGTAAATTAACCATAGTCATAAACTCACATCATGTTTTCCTTTCTTACAGGGCCACGACCTCTACGGATGTAGTGGTGTCGATTTGTGTGATCTTCGCCATGTCCTTCATCCCCGCCAGCTTTGTCCTCTTCCTCATCCAGGAGCGCGTCAGTAAATCCAAACACCTGCAGTTTGTGAGCGGCGTGAATCCTACCATCTACTGGCTGGCCAACTTCGCCTGGGACATGGTACACGTGAAACACTTCACTTTTTGTCGTTGCTGTGCCTATAATGTTCCTTCTGCTCTGAAAGATGGATGGAAAGTGGAAGGGTGCACGAGAACTAAAAAGAGGAGCTGAGATAGCTAATTAAAACTCTATTAAAACTCTATCAATTTACCACTGAGTACGGTTCACAGCCTCCATTGTTCTATGTCATATGTTACATTCTCAGTGGAGAGAGATAAATTCACCTTCACTAATAAATTGCTAATAAATGAATTAGTGTCAAGGGAGATAAAAAGGGTTTGCAACCTATGCAGCGAAAAAATAAAATAAAATTAGTCTTACCCTATACCATTTTAAAAACTGCTATATAAATAAAGAAATACTACAGTACATAATGATGTGCCATAATTTTTTTGCCAAAATTTGTGTTGCATAATAAACCCATGAATGGCAAGTTGCACCTGTGGACAACACTGTTTATTTGCATGCATAATCTAGCTGCATAATATCATATATGAAATAGCTGTATCAACGGTAAAAACTGATAATATCTGGTTAGTAAATAAGATTCAAGTTTTTTAAATAATGCACACAAAAGGGACTATTAGGACTACATGATTTGGGGATAAAGATATAGGCTAATGAAAAAAATTTAAATTGCAATTTAAAGTAAGATAAAAAAAGAAAAGAATCCAGGGGTTCGTTTCCTGAAAGCATCGTTATCTAACTATGATCGCAATTTCCATTGAACTCTATTGGTAACGACAGAACTTGCGACCATAGTTGGCTTTGGGAAACGCACCCCAGGTTTGCTGGCTTATTTGAAAGACTGCACAATTTGACCCAAAGTTTTGAGATTGTATTTTGATATCAGTATAAAATAATTATTATATTATTGTTATAAAATAAAATATCAAACAAAATAAATATAACTACAAGACTATTTCACTATGAAATAAAAATATATATATTTAGGAAAATAATTATAATAGTTTTATTTTAAAGTCAATTTGTAAAATTACAATACTTATATTTGTCTGCTTTTCTTAATGTTTCTAAATTAAATCGTTGAGTTTTTATTTTAGCGATACAGTTTAACTGTGTGTTCACACCAGACGTGAATAGCACGTCAAATTCGCGCCTACCGCATCTAGTTATACGCTTGAACACTTTGAATCCATTCGCGCGTCAAGAGCGAAATTGACGCGCGTTAATTTCGCTTCAAACTTTTGTTTTTTACGCGCGTCAATTTCGCTCTTGACGCGCGAATGGATTCAAAGTGTTCAAGTGTATAACTAGATGCGGTAGGTCTCGTGCGTCAGAGGTGAAATCTTTTGGCGGCCATCTTTTTACAAGATGGCTAATGTTGATCGAGCATTCATTGAGAGAGTCACCACTCTGTATTTGCTCTGGAGAGCAGAACAGCGGCGTAGGGATCATCGTCGCCGTATTTGGGTCCACCAGACCCTTCGGAGGCGAACCTAGTTCGGCGAGTTTCACCATTTCAGCTCCAGCTGCGCCTGGATGACGGCCGCTTTCAGCGGTACTTCCGCCTGTCCCGCGCCCAGTTTGATGACCTATTCTCCCGCATCAGAGCGAGGATCAGCCTCGCCCTCACCCACCTAATCTGTCATTTATTTTTGTTTTGATGATAAATAGAGCCAGTCTTCAAAAGTGATTAACCTGTCCTGTGATTTTTTTCTAACACTGTCCAGACACGAACTATATATTATATGCACTAAAGTAGTAGCATGTTGGTTGTCTTTACATTTGAATAATGTTTCATATAATCTAGATTAGATAAGGAAAAAATGTCTCATAAATTGAAATCAAGTTTTTATGTAATAAAATATTTGCTTTGTTGTGCATTACAACCACACCAGGCAGTGTCATATTACAAAATAATTGATTGAGGCCAAACATATAAACATTATAAACTGAAAAGAGCGAACCTGACCCCGTTTATTCCGTCACTTCACCATGTGACAGCAACAGCAGGCTCCTGATTGGTTAACGCTGCGCGAACTGACGCAGCAGTTCAGATTTTTCAACTCGGGCGGCAGACGCGAATTCGCGTCAAACGCGTGAATGCACAAAAAGCACTAAATAAAATTATTTGCGCGTGACGCAATCATTACATCATTCATTCATTCAATCATTACATAACAATCATTCGCGAATGAGGCGTATTCGCGTCTACCGCGCCGCGCTCTATCCCTCATTCGCGCCGCAGGATTTTTTTACGCACGTAACGCGTCTTTGCAGTGACTTAACATTGAAATCACTTGCGCCAGACGCTCTATTCACGTCTGGTGTGAACGCACCATAACACTTCTTTGTTGGCAGCAGGTTTATGAACTCATCTCATTGAAATCTGGTGTAATATTTAGCATGTTGTGTTTTCAAATGCACGTTATAAGTGACGAACTCACAGCACTCGCAGATATGGAGTTCATGTTAAAGGGATACTCCACTTTTTTTGGAAATAGGCTCATTTTACAACTCCCCCAGAGTTAAACTGTTGAGTTTTACCGTTTTTGAATCCATTCAGCCGATGTCCGGTTCTGGCGGTACCACTTTTAGCATAGCTTAGCATACATCATTGAAGTGGACAAGACCATTAGCAGTTCTAAACAAAAACACCAAAGGGTTTCGATATTTTTCCTATTTAAAACTTGACTCTTCTGTAGTTACATCGTGCACTAAGACCGACGGAAAATGTAAAGTTGCGATTTTCTAGGCAGATATGGCTAGGAACTATACTCTCATTCCTGCGTAATAATCAAGAAACTTCACTGCCGTACCATGAGTGCAGCAGGCGTAATGATATGACGCAGCGCCTGAAAATAGTTCCGTTGTGTTGACGGAAGGTGGCCTATTTTCAAGCGCTGCGTCATATCATTACGCCTGCTGCTCTCATGGTACGGCAGTGACGTTTCTTGATTATTACGCAGGAATGAGCGTATAGTTCCTAGCCATATCAGCCTAGAAAATCGCAACTTTACATTTTCCGTCGGTCTTAGTGCACGATGTAACTACAGAAGAGTCAAGTTTTAAATAGGAAAAATATCGAAACTCTTTGGTGATTTTTGTTTGAGAACTGCTAATGGTCTTGTCCACTTTAATGATGTATGCTAAGCTATGCTAAAAGTGGTACCGCCAGAACCGGAGATCGACTGAATGGATTCAAAAACGGTAAAACTCAACAGTTTAACTCTGGGGGAGTTGTAAAATGAGCCTATTTCCAAAAAAAGTGGAGTATCCCTTTAAGCAGCATTTACTGCAAATCATGATCTGCTCGTGTGTAAATGAACACGGCGTAGCGCTTACTCTGAAATGTGCAGTGCATATATTTATTTAAATACATTTTTTATCAACTGTTAAGCAAACAAAATTGTGTTGTGATAATAGATTAATTAGTATTACTTAACACATTTAATGGATTGTATTTCTTTTGTTGTTATTGTTCTCGGGTGTCTTTAAGCAGAGACGATCCTCCCTATATGTACACTACGCAAGTTGCGTAGGGCCCCGCAAATAACTCAAGGCCCCGCCTCCCCCTCGTGTCAAAGCGCGTCAATCAAAGTTTACAACATCGATGAGATAATTAAGCGGAACTATCCTTCTGGTCACGAAAAGAGAGACTGAGAAGAAAAACTCCATGTGAGTGAATTGAAAGCACGTATCTATACCACGAATTTAATTTCTTGTGCCATTTATACGGCAAAAATAGTTTTTGCGTGCATATGATACGCACTTTTTAGCGTATAATATGCACGCACTCCACACCCCTAATCCTACCCAAGAGATTTACAGTGCGTAGCATATGAGCGCAAAAACCATTTTTGGCGTATAAATAGCACGAGAAATTAAGTGCGTGGTATAGATACGCACTTTCATGAGATTACGTTTGATAATACAAAGGTGTTTGTTTATAAACTGCAGCTCGGAAAAGAAAACTGTGTCGCGCGTTAACATGAGTTCATATGCGCGTGCACGAAATGAAATGCGCACTTTCCAGTAAAACATCTATGGGGACCAGTTACCAGTACAATATGGGCATGATGGCACTCCTCATTAGGCGCTCATACTTTTAAAACAAGACAATGATTATCTAGTCTCCCAGTCAGTTTAGTTACAACTCTGCAATAAAGCAAGATGGAAAGCAATCTATTGACATTGACTATATTGCTTTTAAAATGTTGATTGGCTGCTGGACATACTGGTCAATATGGATGCACATCCCTCAGTAAATAATAGCCATCAAGTATCAATTATTGCTTTTATCATTTAAACGCAGTGACATGCAATGGCAAGCCATTTTAGCTTTTATTAATTCACAGGATGCATTTTTGATATCAATAATTAAATGTGTACTATTTAAAATGTAAATTATTGATATTAATATAAAATATGTCTATTTCTGATATCAGGACTTACGTTTTCATTAGTACTAACTAAACTAGGGAGGATTGTAGTGGGAGAACTGGGGTGTCAGGTGTGACTCTTTGGCAATGGCAAATGGTTTACATGGCTCATGGGTCAGGTAGGAGGAGCCCCTTAACAGATTTTTGCTTAGGGCCCCAGTGAGGTCAGGATCGGCTCTGTCTTTAAGTATTATGTTTGATTCTGTTGTGTTTCAGTGTAATTATGTCGTCCCGTGTATCATCGTCATCATCATCTTCCTGTGTTTCCAACAAAAATCTTACGTCTCTCCACCCAACCTGCCTGCGCTCATACTGCTGCTGTTTCTTTACGGGTGAGTGTGTGTGGTGGTTGTTTGGTTTTTCATCTCCTGGAGTTTAAATGTGTTTTGTCAGTGTTTGTATTGTGTGTTTTTGTCTCACAGGTGGTCCATCACTCCGATGATGTATCCCGCCTCGTTCCTGTTCAGCGTTCCCAGCACAGCGTATGTGGTTCTGACCTGCATCAACCTCTTCATTGGCATCAACGGCAGCGTAGCCACATTCGTCATGGAGCTTTTTGACGACCCGGTGAGAGTCTAGCACACACACACACACACACACACAATTTACTTAAAGCCTGCAGTGAAAAACAGACATTGTGTCTGTTATTTCGATTTATTCTTCTGAAGAGTGTGTCGTTCTTATCATCTGTGACGTACAAAGCTTTCCTTCAGCCCACCCTGATGCTTAGGATCTGTTCACAGTCACACCAAGAACAATAGCTATATTGATAACTAGGGGTGCAACATATCACAACTTTTGGTTCAGATCCTATTATAGATTGAGTCACGGATCACCTTCTTGATGTGAGACGACAGTGCTAATGTCTTTTCGACTTTAAAGTAACGGCAGCGCATGATTACAATAAACATAAAATTTGTTGGTGTGGACGCTAATATTGTTATACCAGTTTATCCAATGTACAGATTACGGTATTTTAACATTTCACAAAAGGTGCCGTTTGGTCTGGTTTTGTTTTCGTAATAAACACACATGATATTTACACTTTTCTTTGGACTATTTAATAGCATACCAGAAAGGTGTGTTTTTTTTTTTTTTACAAAGTTTCTAAAACATTATTTTGGTTATAACGTTTTAGATGTGGTCTCTAAAACATTTTTAAGATGTTGAACTGCAACATTACCTAATTGGAACCGAAATATAACGTTGTGAAAATGTTTTTTGTTTGCTTGGGTAAATGCTGGATGAAGTCAAGCTGTAATCATAAATGTGAATTGAATTAATCAAATTATCCAGGGCTGTTTTCGCAAAAACAAAATGTGCAAATATTCTAGTCAGACTAATGCTTAGGTCGATATACTGTTTTAGTCCAATTAAAATGCAACTTTAAAAAGGGAACTAAATAATAAATAAGTGTGCTAATAATTAGTTAAAATAACAGTGCAGCCATCTTCATGAAACCTTGTAAAGACGACAATAAAATTAGCTGTTTAGCTGCTCTAAACTGCTAGTTATGCCATAAATTGGTGAATCCAGTGACTTGATGCCCCAGTTAGTTTGTTGAATGGAGCAGAATTAAGGCATTCAGATATGTGTTTTTAAAGCTGAACTTTAAACACGTTTGTGTGTGTATGAAGGCGGACGTGTGTCTTAGAGTATATGGGTCAGTGTAAATCCTGTGATTTCACCGTCTCTGGTGTTTGTGATGATGAATGAGCATGAGGCTCGTACAGTAGTTGGGAAGAAAACTGTTGCATGATTTCTTCAACTGTGTGAGAGTGTGTTTGATGAATCACACGCTGCTGAAGACGGCTTGACTATCATCAGAACGATGTTTCATCAACTTTAGATTTTAGCTTGAGATTGAGGATACAGGCGGAAGTATTGATCATTCTCTTATTTGTGGGTGTTGGTTTGTTTTCAAAATTGTGGGTAGACATTTGTATTCGGTTCAAATGTATATAATATATAATGATAGACTCCACATAGAATGATAAAATTAATGTTCTTTTGACATATTTTTCACATTTAGACTCATTATATAAAATGCAAAGCAAAATCTAGGTGTGTCGGGGTTTGCTTCAAACCGTTATGACCTTATACAAAAAAAGAAGAAAAAAACATTTAATGGAATATAGATTCCCAAAAATAAATATTCTGTCTTAATCACTTCTAAACCCGCATGCTCTTATGTGAAACACAAAAGGAAAAGTTCAACAGAACATGCATGTTGCTCTTTTCCTAACAAAGTGTTATTGTTAACTAACACTAAGGCTATTAAAATTGTTTGTAATAATTTAAATAAAATGAAATATAAATATTACGTGAAAAACTTAAACCAAAAAAGTTAGAGCTGAAGTACTAAAATTACTAAAAACTAATCCATAAAATAAAATATAAAGCTAAAAACAAATATTAAAAATGATTAAGCACAACATAACTTAAAACTAAAATAAAAGCTAATTCAAAATGTTAATAAATATGCTAAAATATATATATATAAAAAAAATACTAAAATAACACTGCAAAATGCATAGTGAGAAGTCATTATCAATTAAAAGATCAGAAAATAACTATAAAAAACATCCGTATGACACACACAATCAGTGAAACAATGTGCATGTAAATTCACTCATTTTGAAGAATCATGTGTTTCCAATCTAACATTGCCGTTCTCTGTCTCATCTGTCGTTGTCCAGAATATAACTCGCATCAATGACATAGTGAAACAGGCTCTGCTGGTGTTTCCTCATTTCTGTTTGGGAAGAGGTCTGATGGACATGGCCAAAAACCAGGCAATGGCCAACCTCTACAAAAACCTGGGTAAGACATTGACGCATGCGGAAGCTTGTAGTTCAGTGTTGAAAGCTGATATTTGTGGTACAGTAAGTGAGTTCTTTGTTTTCAGGTGAAGACCGCTTTGAAAATCCTCTCAACTGGAACTTGGTGGGCAAGAATCTGTTTGCCATGTCCATTCAGGGGGCGGTTATGTTCGGCCTGACCCTTCTCATACAGTACAAGTTCTTCTGCAAACCAAGGTAAGAAGAAGACACTTCTTTACACGTTTAAAAATCTCACACCTAAAGAAAAAATCAGTTGGCACCTACAGTACCAGTCAAAAGTTTGGAATAAATTTAACAACATGTACTGACTATATAATTAGGGTTAGTGTTTGGTTTAGGGTTAAAGGGTTAGTTCACCCCAAAATGAAAATTCTGTCAGTAATTACTCACCCTCATGTTGTTCCAACCCCGTAAGACTTTCGTTCATCTTCGGAACACAAATTAAGATATATTTGATTAAATCTGAGACCTGGATCACTCCTCCATAGGCTTATTAAGGGATCGAAACTGGCCGGCCCAAAAGTTATTAAAGACATCGTTAAAATAGTCCAAGTGACTACAGTGGCTCAATCTTAAGTTTATCAAGCGACGATAATACTTTTCCTTCAACTATTCATTTCCTTCTCTGTCGGCCTCAAAATTTCACCTAGTGAAACTGCGCAACGGTTCTGTGTTGTACGTCACACGCAGGCTCACTATTGGCCGACGCTGGTCATGTGTGTGATGCGTGTGACGTACAAACCTGGAAGCTTTGCGCAGTTTCACTACGATGTTTTTTGCGCACAAGTATTCTCGTCGCTTGATAAACTTAAGATTGAGCCACTGTAGTCACTTGGACTATTTTTACGATGTCTTTAATAACTTTTGGGCCGGCCAGTTTCGATCCCTTAATAAGCCTATGGAGGAGTGATCCAGGTCTCAGATTTAATCAAAAATATCTTAATTTGTGTTCCGAAGATGAACGAAAGTCTTACGGGGTTGGAACAACATGAGGGTGAGTAATTACTGACAGAATTTTCATTTTGGGGTGAACTAACCCTTTAATTGCTTCTAATTAAAAATAATTTTCTGTTATTACTATAGTATGTAAATGTAAGATGTGTAAAAGTAACACTGTAAAATAAAGTTACCGAAGTTTCCATAAAAAATATGAAGCAGCACAACTGTTTTCAACATTGATAATAATCAGAACATATTCAAATGATTTCTGGATGATAATGTGAAGACTAGAGTAATGATGCTGATTTGCATCACAGGAATAAATTACATTTTAAAATACATTTAAATAGAAAACAGTTTTATAATTGTAATTTATTGTACTTCATATATATATATAGCCTATACAACTAAACAAAATAACAGTTCTGACAAAAGGTTCTGACAAATAGTTAATTACTGCAGTCTTATTCAAATGCTGCATTAATTTGAATTAATTATATATATATAAAAAAAACGTTTGAATGAATGATTCAGTGACTCACTCATAAATACTTGTTTCATTACTTGATGATTTTTGAAAAAAAATCTCTTGAATGAATGATTCAATGACAAAAACATTTTTTAGGTCACTTGTCTCCACCTAGTGGCGTGATTATGTAATTGACACAATCGCCAAGTTACTTTCAAAAGGTACTTTTCTGTACTTTGGTCACTACCGTAGACATCAATGTTTATTTACGAACTATAAGCTTTTATCCCAGGACTGCTGTGATTATTTGAATATTTGTAACACAGAAATAATGATTCTGTGTGGTTTGTGACTGTTTGTGAAGCCTATAGCCTACCTATACATGACAACTGCTCTCTCTCTAGATCAGCGGCAGTGCGAACACATATTTGAATGTTCCGGTGTAATTTTGTCAAAGGTTTAAAAGACACAGGCGAATCACTGTCATTTAGGAATAAGATCGAGTGTGGGTATTTGAATCGAGATCGCAGTCTTTAACGATTAATCGTGCAGCTCTAAAATATAAACAGTGTTGGGCAAGTTACTTTTAAAAAGTAATTAGTTACAGTTACTAGTTACTACTTCCAAAAAGTAACTAAATTAGTTACTCAGTTACAAATTGTAAAAGTAACTAGTTATTTAAGAAAGTAACTATTGCGTTACTTTCAAGTAAAATTAAATTTTAAATGCTCAAATGTGACCCCACCTCTACCCCTCTTTAACGGAACTTACAATACATGTGCATGTTCAATTATTTATGATAAATCTGAATATTATAATGAAATGGACACTTAATACAATACATTATTAACAGAAACATGAAACATTGTACACACATCTAAAAAAAAAAGTTTTGCTGTGGGACTAGCCTCCAATTAAATGTCATGTATTTATTATGTTTATATAGTGGATCAATGCAAATAACACAATAGATGTTTTGGAACTTTTGATATTTATTGCCCCTCAACAGGCCACAACTGGGCAAAATTAAATTAAGCTTGTTAAGCTCGTCGCCATACCTGTCTCTCGTTGACTGACTGACTGGCTTGCTTGTGTTGTTCATTGTGTGTCCTGTCCTGTCCGACTATGCGTTATGATGGGTCGTTCGCAATTCATGAGCGTTAGCTGTTAGTGATGATGGATCGACTCGTTCGCGAATGAGCTTTTGATGGGTCGTTCGCGATTCGCGAATGAGGCGACTCTAACAGCTTGATGCTCTTTTAGGTGAACGTCGGGAGCTGGCTCGCATATCTGAAGAGCCCACTCTATTTTTACAAATTTAGCCTATAGAAATTAAATAATTATGTAATAAAAATTTAAATATTATAGTCAAAGTCATTTAAAGAGCCGTTTGTGAGCCAAAAGAGCCGGCTCTTTTCAGTGAGCTGAGTCAAAAGTGCCGAATGCCTACTACTATGCGTGCTTTCGAACACCCGCCCAACTCTACCTCTGATTGGCTTACAATGACATTTTACTCTACCTCAGTCGTCAGCATTTATGCGCTTGTCTCGTGCTCTGCCCACTAACCAAGGAAGAACAGTAAAAAAGTATTTGCCTCTCGCTCAGAGATCTAGTTGGTCTGATGAAAAAAAAAAACCAGCTTCATCAGTTATAGTAACGCGCCGCATTTTTTGGCAGTAACGGGAACGGCGTTATTAAGATGAGAAGAGTAATCAATTAGATTACTCGTTACTGGAAAAAGTTATGCCGTTATATTCCCATCACTGAATATAAACACACATGATCATGTTGTCTGCTCTGGGGGTAAATTCACACATCTTTACACACAGGTCGATAAAGTCACTGCCTACATCATCAGGAGGAGAGGATGAAGATGTGACTCGGGAGCGTGAACGTGTGCACCAGGGTGGAGCTCAGAATGACCTGCTCCAAATATGTGACCTTACTAAGGTATTTCCTGTTCCTGTGGCATCAGTGAGGTGCAGTGTTTCATTCCGTTCATTCAGGGATGATGAATTACCAGCTTCATACTTTGAAAAGTGCCATAGTTGTGGGCAGTTGTGAAAAGTCGGGTGAACAGTTGATACCAGCTGGTCAACCAGCTAAATGAGCTGAAACAGTTTTGAACAGTTTAAGACCAGCAAACCAGCTTTTTTTCCCCCCACAGCAGGGTTAGTCTGATCAATACCGTTTCCCCCACTTGATTATTTAATAATCAAAAAGGCTCAGTAGAAACACCAGATTTTTTTTTTGTGCTTACTCTTTTAAAAGTTTCATTAGAAATGACATTAAAGTAAGGTTTAGTGTACCATAAATGCTTGTCAGTATATTTGGCAGTACACTTTAACCATAATTCAAAGCCTGTAAATAGAAGCAATTATGAAATTACATATAAAGATGTACTTTAGTCCTAATTATGTGGGTCAAAACACTCTAAAGTTCTGCTAATTGCATTTGAAATTAAACTATAGTGCATTTTCGTTTAATTACAATTAACATGCAATTAGGTGTCTGAAAACATTACATTCAGTTTACACTTAAGTGTATTCTTTTAAAGTATATTTTTTCCGTAATAAGTAAACAAATGTAAGTATACTAAAGTATGCTTCTAGTTTCACAAGGATAGACTTTGAATATTCAGGGCAGAGGCTCGTGGTTCCAGGTGTGCGAGTGTACAGATGTGCACAGGAGTGTCCAGTGATTAAGAGTTTGATTTGTCTGTGCTGTAATCAGACGTCTCTAGCGCTGAGCTAGACTGGCAGAGAGCAGCTGTCTCTACTCAAGAGACGCCGTTTGTGTGACATGAATCACGCGCCGTTCTTCGTGAGTCTGCGGCTGAGAGTGGGACAGGTGTTAATGTAGGAGATCCTCATATTGAATATTCCTGAAAGAAGTTTCTTGGAGAACGTACAGTTCTCAACAGACACACAGTTTAAGTACAGCTCAAACAACACTTTTTATGGATTTCTGCTTTTAAAACTGCATTGCTGCACTTTAAGTTGAAATTATTTTCTGTGATGATGGACAGATGCTATTCACAGAATAACTTTTATATTGTTAGTAATATTTCAAGAACATTTACTGGAAGCAGTTTAGGTTTACTTGATTATCCATGTATAATTTTTTATGTCAAATATGATCCATCAGGCTTTTGAGGAACATTTATTTGTTCATCTCTCAATCATCTTTGTATTGCATTGCATTCTATGTTTTTAAAGCTACAGAGTTTTGATAATCTATAATAATTTACTACTAATCTATTATTTCATATGTCAGACTTTACAGGGTTAATACGTTCTTAGTAGTGCTGGGCAACGATTAATCACATCCAAAATAAAAGTTTGTGTTTACATAATATATGTGTGTGTGCTGTGTATAATTATTTTGTATATATAAATACACACACATGCATGTAAATATTTAAGAAAAATGTGTTATTTATATATAAAGTATGTATATTTATGTATAATATAAATTATGTATAAATATATACAGAGTATATATGCAAATATTTCTTAAATATGCATGCATATGTGTGTATTTATATATACAAACTTATTATACACAGTACACACACATATTATGTAAACACAAACTTTTATTTTGGATGCGATTAATCATTGCACAGCACTAGTTCTTAGAGGATCACATAATGTTGTCTACACAGAGAACAGTTATATATTATTTACAAACAAAAAATTGTTACACTTTATTTCGACGGTCCACTTGAGACATTCTACTAACTATGCAACTTTGCAAATACATGTCAACTCTCATTAGAATCTTAGTAGACTAGTAGGTTAGGGTTAGATGTCTGGGTTCGGGTTAGTAGAATAAGTTGACATGTTGATGCAAAGTTACTTCTAGTTAGTAGAATGTCTAAAGTGGAACATAAAAAAAAAAAAGCTTTTTACAGGCATGATACGATTATACTTTGTGAATTTTTTTATTTATTATTATTTTCTGCAGATGTACCGTGTGAAGCTCACTCCAGCCGTGGATAAAATCTGTGTGGGTGTTCCTGCTGCAGAGGTAAATGACACACACTCATATAAAATGGAAACTTATTTTAAGCACTAATAAGAAGAAAGTGTCTAAACGAATTTCATTATTTTTTTTAATAAGAGTATAATGCCAAAGGTCTTTAAATAACTTTAGCCTCTATAGACCCCATGGAATTACTTTTTGCAGATATGCATTTAATTTTTGGCAGCAATAAAAAAAATAAGAAATGATATTTTATAACTGTCTTTTTCCCCTGATACCACCTGCCACCATCTATTATTAGCAAGAAACAAATATTGACTCATTGCTGTGCTGCTCTTTTTTTCCTGTTAATGCATTTGTCACTAAATCATTGTGTGTGTTTGGTTTGCAGTGTTTTGGTTTGTTGGGGATAAATGGTGCAGGTAAAACTACAACTTTTAAAATGCTGACTGGAGACATCAGCCCGACTGCAGGAGATGCCTTCGTAAACGGATACAGGTACACTATAAAAGCAATAGAAGTAATTATGAAATTTTTACTAAAGAATGAAGTTTTACTAAAGAGGTACTCTTTTTAGAGTACTCTTCTTACTCTTTTTAGAGTAAAAAAAACACTAAAGTTCAGCAAATTTACTATGCATAATTGGTCAGGGGAAAAGAGGTGCTTAATCTTCAAATATCTAGTCAACCTCGGGAGGTCGAACTAAATATTACTGTGTATGAGTTTTATTTTCTAATTATTTTTTGATGAGCTTTACCTAAATTTAACATAAAATAATAAAAATCAAAGAAATACATCAGAATGGGTAGCAGGGTTGCAAATATAGCCCAAATTGAGTTCACTCAGTTGAGTCTAGCTAGTTTGCCAAATGTTGGTTTTGATCAATTATATTTCCCATAAATTAAAGGGACAAAAATGTTATCATTCATTTCCCAAAGTAAGCTGGGGTAACCTAAAAGGAGACCTATTATGCCCTTTTTCAAAGTCTTGATTTTGGTTTTAGGGTTTATTAGAATAGGTTTTACTTTTCATGCTTGAATGTTCAAAAAATTTTTTGCACATTTTACATTGTTCCAGCACCTCTTTTCCCAGTCTGCCAGTAACACTTTATAGAGTGGTGCAGGTATGACATCACTTTGTAGGCCACAACGCGGAAGTGAGTTAACATTTTAACACTTCCGGTTCCACCGTCCTAAAGTCCATCCATCGTCCCCACTTGTGATTTTTTGAATCTGTTACGTGTCTTGAAAAAGGCGGTGGCTAACAAGTGGCTAAATGGGACTACAGAGGCCGTCGGGGAGATTAAACATCATCACGCCGAAAAGGTAAACTCAGTCCCCTTTTACAGCATCGTTATGCTGTTGGTGGTGCTGACGTTGAAGTCATGGGACCGTGGTGTAGTTCATTTATAGCCTACCTTTAGTACTTTTTACTTCTGGCGACTGCATTTAGGCTTCAAAATTCATAAAAGTTGTGTTCATCTGTGATAATTATCTTGATGGACAAAACGTGCAAGTATCATACACTTTTGTTGATCATAGAGCTTGTTTTTGGCGATAATCTAAAAGCCTATGGGAAAATCCTATTGTATTTTTGTCGAGGGAACCAGCTTGATGCTAACTGCTGGTTGGCCTACAAAGTGATGTCATACCTGCACCACTCTATCTAGTTCATGTCTCTATAAAGCCCCTCCTTCCGAAAAGCACAATGTGCTCTAATTGATCGGCTGGACCGGTGTGTTGTGATTGCTCAACCGCTTCGAGTGTGTTTGGGAAATGTTACCCACCTTCAGTGTTGGGAAAAGTTACTTTTAAAAGTAATGCGTTACAATATTGTGTTACTCCCTTAAAAAAGTAACTAATTGCCTTATTTTTTTGATGGAAAGTAATGCGTAACAAATAAAAAGGGTCTAATTTTGGCAAATGTAAAGCTATGTATATAGGTATATGTATATACATAAGGCAAAGGTCCTTTCAAGCCAAAAGTGAAGTGATGAATTAGAAAAAATTAACCCCTGTACAGTAGAGGTAAAGAAATAGGAGGGGGAAAAAAACGTAAAAATAATGTGTTACTTTAAAAAAGTAATTGTTACTTGTTATGCATTAGCCCCAACACTGCGTCCCTTACAATGACCGCAAGTTTCAACACCCTATTAACGCAACTCAACCAGGTCTCACCCTTTTATTTTGCGTCTACCTTGGGTGGGAATTATTTAAATGAGGAATATTGTGATGTGTGCGTTCCTGGAAGAAAACTGAAGACTACTAGCGAGGTGTTTAAGGGAGTTCAGAAACAGTGCTTACTGATATAGAGATTAACACCTTTGGAGTGACTTTGTGCTTTGTATCTTTGCAGACCTTTATCATGCTCAAACAGAAAGTTGAAAAATAAAGACTAAAGGAAGTTGAACTTGTAAAAAAACGTTACCTGAAATAAAATTTCAAAACTTTATTTAATTTAGTTTCCAAAGCGACATTTCTTATTTAGACTTGATGTACTAAAATAACCATAACTAAAACTGAAATAAAAATGTATAAAAACTATATAGACATTTAAAGAAAAACGAACTAAATGACAACAACAAAATTACAAAAACTAAAATAAAAATGGGAAATACAAAAATAAAAACCAATTAAAAAAAGTGTAATAGTATCTCAATGATACTAAAATAACACTGCTTGTTCCAGCTAAAAAGTGGTGTTATGCAGTTGCTAAGGAGTTAAGAGTGATTTCTTGTTTAACTTTTCAGCATCCGCAGTGAAATGCAGTTGGTGCAGCAGAATATGGGTTACTGTCCGCAGTTTGATGCGATAGATGACCTTTTGACGGGAAGAGAACACCTGGAGTTCTACGCTCGACTCCGAGGGGTTCCGGAAAAGGAGGTTTCCATGGTAACACAGCCTGCGGTCATTGTTTTGCAGACCCTTAATCTTTGTATCTAAAATTCACTCTCTGTCCATGGACTCTTTCTCTCTCTCTCTTCTCTGTGTGTGTGTGGTTCATTCTGTAGACCTTTCAGCAACAAAACCATCAAAGTGTGTGTGTCTGTGGTCTCACAAGTCTTTGATCCTTTACTGGGTCATACTAACCAACTGGTTAGCTTGTGCAACATCACACACACACACACCAAGGTTATTGTGTTTTTCATTTTCAATATATTATATTGAATTATATATATTTTTTTAGATTATATATATATATATATATAACATAATATTAAAATATTATTATACAATACTATTTTTATTAGATTATACATATTTCTAACAGTTAGTTCTGGTCATCGAATCTGATTGGGGCCTTCCAGGAGTGCGATATTACACCCGTATCAGCATTTATATCAGCGTTTATATCATTCCACTTGTTTTTAAACACAGGCACACAAGAGTCTTTTGTTTGGAGGCAGTTGACCTCAGTGGCTAATCATTTTCATGTTTTTAGGGCCTGCCCGAAAAATACAACCTTTTTGGCGAAGAATTAACGGTAGAAATTGAAACGATAATGGGAGAAGAGTTTGACTATTCATTCATTATTTTAATTGGCCAGAAACTGTTTTAGACCAGGATAAATACTTAAGGAACACTTGCAATTAATGTCCAATAAAGATTGGTTTAAAGCACTTAATGATATTTACAGATTTTTCCTAATCTAACAGGAGAACTATTTATGCTTAAATTGTTAATAAAGCATAAAAAACATTATCTAACTCTAAATCTTTACATATGAGCTAATTAAACAATAATAATTTTGTTAATTACAGGGACAATGAATGCAGAACTCACTATTTGTATATAGCCTGGGATCAGTAGTTTTTGAAAAACTCTTTTGGCCAATATTGATATTTGAAATCACCAAAACAAACACGCTCCTACCCCAAAATGATCTCGCCCCTAATTTGATAGCTCAATGGTTCAGTTCAGTTTTACGTGGAAGACGACCCTCAACACCCACAAAGTTATCATGATCAGCTCAACAGCACGAGCACGACAGTCATAGTAACAAATATATTACAACTATAACAAGATTTGGGGGTTATATCGATCACTAAGTGGGGAACCAAAGGAAATAAACATTAGGAGTATATTATCTTACTTTTCAGACACACTTTGGGAGCCGACGCTTGAAACAGACAGTGGAGGAGGTTTAGACGCTCCAGGCTTATATGTGTCTTTTTCATAGCTGAATCAAACGACAATAATATCGCAAATGAAAAAAACAAGCAAAGATGACACACGAGCATATTCAAGCAATGGCCACCAGCATAGGCTATATTAGTTCTGTGAAACAAAGCTAAACAATGTTACTCACCTATCAAGAAGAAATAAAGCAAACTCAGCGTCCGATGTTAGGCCTTTCCGCTCCTTGAGTTCTCCAGCGCTGGTAAGCTTCTCAGATATTAACACGAGTTCTACCTCTTTGCCTGATCGGAAGCCTTCTTTTTAATTTTAATTTCCGCAGACATATTCCTCTTTTGTTTTTTATCGGCCATCTCTCTTTCTGTAGTCGTTCGGCTAATGTCTGTGCTGTGTGCACTGAGCGCTCTCTCCTCCCCATCATTAGTAGACACGCCCCTTACTGCTGATTGGTTACAAGTGTGTTTTGGTAGTCGGTCCGACACAGTTTTCAAAAGTGTTTTTCAAAAACTACTGATCCCACTTTTAATTTATTAACAATGTAGAGACTAAAATACGTAAACCTTGAATTAACTATAAACTAATAGTTTCCAAATGATTTTTAAGTACTTTATTACTGTATACTTATTATAAAGTGTTACCAAGAAATCGAGTAGAAAATGCGAGAAAAAAAGTAAGAATTGCGAGTTTATATCTCACAATTGCGAGTTTATAGCTTGCCATTCTGACTTTTTTTCTTGCAATTGTTGGTTTTTATTTTATTTTATGATATTTGGGGTTTTGAATCAATAGTTTTATCTTAGTTTTTAGTGTTGAATGGGTGGATGTTTATTTGAATGGATTTGCAGTGATATTCTCTCTCTTTCTGTCTTTCAAGGTGGCTGAGTGGGGTGTTCAGAAGCTCGGCCTTGTGAAATACTCTGGGAAATCTGCAGGAACGTACAGCGGCGGCAACAAGCGCAAACTCTCCACTGCCATGGCTCTGATTGGCTGCCCTCCTCTAGTCTTCCTGGTAAGACACGTTCATCACACACACACATACACCTGGCACTCCAGATCACTTCACCGTCCCATCAACATTCAGACAATCAGCACCGATTCATCTGAGCTGATTCAAGTCGATAAACGTGTCTACAGTTCTGTCTGCGCTCAAATACGCACATCCAGCACAAGCTTCAATAGAAGCTGGGATGGGTTCTTGTGTTCAATCTTTCTATTTTTTGATTGTGAATCTATGTAAATGTATCTACAGAATTGAGTATCGTAGTGCCAATGGATACACAATACTTTTATATTTTTTCTTTATAACGTATGTCGTATGTACTAGTCAAGTCACCTTCATTTATATAGCGCTTTTAACAATGTAGATTGTTCCAAAGCTGCTTTACAGTGATAATAGGAAATTAAAGTAACAGAGATTGTTTTGGCTTTATGACAGCTATAGAATAAAGTTATTTTCCGATCATTAGTTATTAACTTAGGGGCCGCTAACATGACACCGTTTTAACAGGTTCTCTCTACGCCAACTTTAAAAACGCGAGCCTGTGAGAACGCTGATGGCGTGCACATGCGTATTAAGAGTTCATTCTATAGGTATGCCCGTTTGAATTATGTGCGCAGGCATGGAGTCCTTGCCTAAAAAACCAACCCTCAACAAACTACTTGTCTGGCCTTAAAAAATACAGAATTTTATCGCTTCGGCGTAGCCACGTGAACCGGAATTATCCTGACAGCGATTACTACTGTTCACCCAAAGTGCTTTACAATCATATCGGGGATCTTTCCTCAACAGGGGTGTAACGGTATACAAAACTGCCGGTTCGGTTTTGATGTCACAGTTCGGTACGGTTCGGTACAGCAGGGGAGAGAAAACGTACTCGGTTACTAACGTAACCTCGGTTCTCTCTAGAGAGGGAACGAGTACTGCTTAATAGCTTACGCTAGGGGAAAAACTCTTTTCCACGAGATATTGAAGCCAAAAATTATCCTTAATTTTTTATTAATGTAAAACGCTTTGCAGCAGCAAGCAGACATAGGCGAAACAGCTCGCGCGCCTATTGGTTGCTCTGCAGCAAATGCAGCAGCCTATCGAGAGAGACTCTGCGTGACGTAATGACCAATGGGGGCAATTCGCGCCCATATCGTCACGTCCCGCCAGAAGGGGCGTGGTCTCACCCTATAAATATGCTCGTTAGGCTGGTACAAGCTGGTTTTTATCGCTGAAGCGAACCAGAGCGTATTCCAAGCACGGCAAGATACGCAGTACTCGTTCCCTCTCTAGAGAGAACCGAGGTTACGTTAGTAACCGAGTACGTTCTCTTACGAGAGTATCTCTCGTACTGCGTAATAGCTTACGCTAGGGGAACACAATGCAACACGCCGTGCGTACAGGGATCCAACACCAAAGTCCCGGGGGCCGAAGCCCAGGGCTCATGTAGTGCATAATCACCATAAACTCACATAGAGTGGAGGAAGAGAGGCTGGAAGCGTCATTCCCTATAAAAAAGCACCCAGCGGGGCTATCATATGACAATTAAACGCGCAGCCAGGGTGAAAGCTTTCAGCCTGATCTGGGTGGCCATACGTGTGTCAACACTCATGGGGCTGCAGTAAACTCAGCATCTGGGCCGCACAGCGGGGCAGATAGCACTGAATTTTAGACCGCCAAAAGCTTAGCTTGTAAGGCGGGTACCTCCAGGTTATAGTATTTTATAAATGTAGACGGCGAGGCCCAGCCCGCGGCCGTACAGATATCTTGCAGGGAAACCCCGCTCGACCACGCCCACGAAGAGGCCACGCCTCTCGTGGAGTGCGCTCTGACACCCAAGGGGCACTGTAGGCCCTTCGCAGAGTAAGCGAGCGCAATGGCATCCACTATCCATCTGGATAGGCTCTGTTTTGAGGCAGCGAGTCCCTTGGAACGCCCGCCAAACAAAACAAAAAGCTGCTCCGTCTGTCTGAAAACAGACGAGCGTGACACATAAGCTCTCAATGCCCTGACGGGGCAAAGGAGACTCGCATCCTCCTCCTCACTGAGAACCGGAAGGGCGGACAGGGAAATTACCTGGGCCCTGAACGGTGTATTGAGGGATTTCGGGACATACCCGTGCTTTGGTTTGAGAATGACCTTCGAGTCATTAGGCCCAAACTCCATACACGACGCGCTTACTGAAAGCGCCTGTAAGTCCCCTATGCGCTTCACTGAAGCGAGAGCCATGAGAAACACTGTTTTGAACGACAGGTGTTTCATGTCCACCAGCTGGATTGGCTCGAACGGGGCGCCTTTCATGGCCTCCAGGACCGTGGAAAGGTCCCACGTCGGGACTGAAGGGGGCCTGGGAGGGTTCAGCCTCCGAGCTCCCCTATGGAAACGCACGACTAAGTCGTTTTTCCCCAGCGACTGGCCAGACACCGGTTTTGCAAACGTTGCTATGGCCGCCACATATACTTTGAGCGTGGATGGGGTCCTGCCCTTATCCAGTAGCTCTTGAAGGAAGGAAAGCACTTCCAAAACCCCGCATTCCACAGGTGAAAAGCTCTGGGCTTGACACCATGCAGAGAAGACAGACCATTTCGAGGAGTAGAGCCGCCTGGTAGACGGAGCTCTAGCCTGCGCGATCGTGTTTAACACTCCTTCTGGGAGGCTAGCGGGTACCCGTTGATGGCCCATGCGTGCAGGGACCACAACTCCGGGCGAGGGTGCCAAATCGAGCCCTCCGCCTGAGAGAGGAGGTCTCTCCTCAATGGTACAGGCCATGGGGCAGTGCTGGTCAGCTGCATCAGGGCAGGGAACCACGTCTGGTTTGTCCAGAGCGGAGCTACGAGCAGCACTGGGCATCCGTTCTCCCTGATTCGTTCCAACACCTGAGGCAGTAGCGAGACAGGAGGAAAAGCATATAGGGGGCAGCGGGGCCAAGCATGAGCCAGCGCGTCCTTGCTTTTCGAGAAAAACTCCGGGCAATGAGCGTTTTCGTGGGACGCGAATATGTCCACCTGTGCTCTGCCGAACGTTTTCCACAGCAGCTGGACCGTCTGCGGGTGCAGCGACCATTCCCCTGCTGGAACATTGTTCCTGGACAGTCTGTCTGGTCCCACATTCAGGTGACCAGGCACGTGCGCTGCTCTCAGTGAGAGCAGGTTGTGCTGAGCCCAGACCAGGAGGCGTTCCGTCAGCCTGTGAAGGTTTCGTGACCTGACGCCGCCCTGGCGATTTATGTATGCCACCACTGACATGTTGTCCGACCAGACCAAGACGTGGTGGCCTGTTACCTGGGGACAAAAACGCCGTAGCGCTTTGTCGACTGCTATCATCTCCAAGCAGTTTATGTGAAGGAGCTTTTCCCGTTCTGACCACAGGCCAGCTAGCGGTCTGCCCTCGAGCAGCGCTCCCCACCCCGAGGTGGAGGCGTCCGTAGACACCACCTTCACACTCGAAGCGGTCCCCAGACTCACACCTGACTGATACCAGTCGGTTATTTTCCAAGGTTCCAGAGCTGAAACACACTGAAGGTCGACCCTGAGGCGAAACAGACCCGCTGTCCATGCACTGGGTGGAACCCGCGCTTTCAGCCACATCTGCAGTGGGCGCATGCGGAGCAAGCCCAACTGGAGTACAGAGGCTGCTGAGGCCATCAGCCCCAGCATTTTCTGAAACCTTTTGAGCGGAACTATCGCGCCGTGGCGGAAGGATTTCGCGCCGCGCTGAATATTTAGCCCGCGCTCTGGTGACAGGCGTGCTGTCATGGACAGCGAGTCCAACACGGTTCCCAGAAAGGAAATTTTCTGACTGGGAGACAGTGAGCTCTTCGCCCAATTGACTGTGAGCCCCAGCTCCTCGAGGTGCTCGAGTAATGCGGCCCTGTGTTCTATGAGCTCCGATCGTGATCGGGCTAGAATCAGCCAATCGTCCAAGTAGTTCAGGACTCGCATGCCCTGAAGTCTCAGGGGTGCGAGCGCCGCGTCCATGCACTTCGTAAATGTACGAGGTGCTAGGGACAGGCCGAACGGCAGGACTGTGTATTGATATGCCTGGCCCTCGAAAGCGAATCTCAAGAATCGCCTGTGATGGGACGCCATTTGTATTTGGAAATAGGCGTCTTTCAGATCTATTGACATAAACCAGTCCCCGTGGCGCACTTGCGCGAGGATTTTCCTGGTCGTAAGCATTCTGAACTGGCGCTTCACAAGCGCTCTCTTCAGCTGTCGCAGATCTAAAATGGGTCTGAGACCTCCATCTTTTTTCGGTACCAGAAAATATCTGCTGTGTAGGCCCCCTTTGCTCTGAGCTTGAGATAAAGGTTCTATAGCACCTTTGCTCAGTAGTTTCGCTATCTCGGCTCGAAGTAGATGAGATACTTCGTTTTCCACCGTCGTCTCGACGCGCGCCGTATAACGGCGGGGACGTCGAGCGAACTGTAGCGAATAGCCTCTATTTATAGTGTTCAGCACCCATTCTGATACCCCAGGAAGCTGTGCCCACACTTTCGCGTGAATAGCTAGGGGTAGAATGAGATCGGGGCTCTGGCCGAGACATAGTGACGGCAAGAGAGCTCCGGCGTGCTGTAACGCAGACACTGTGTTTACAGTGTGTGAGGCGGGGGGCGCGCCGATCGCGGCGGGCAGCCTGGCCGCGCTCAAAACCCTTATAGCAGTTTGCTGAGGGAGAGAGAGCGGGGCGAGCCCCGTGGGGCTTAACATGTCTGTGAGTGAATGTGGGCGCAGGACAGCGGGCACATTTACTGCACTGAAAAACACCGTCGGCCTGAGCTGACTGAATGCGTGTTGGTTTCGTTTTCACAGAACCCGTGGGACATGTGGTGTGTAGTGTTTGTGGGCACTGAGACGTAGGCACATTCACTACATTTAGTGCACAATCGACATGAGGCGATTTTGTTTGTGTGAGCCCTGCATTTTTGCGGGCTGTGCTTGTGTGTAGAAATGAGCCCTGGGTTGTAGGCATTTTCAATACACTCATAACACCATCGGCTGTGGCCGGAATACCAGAAAATACAC